TCTACGATGGAGAGTTTGCCTTTGGAAGGAAAGAAGGCAGATCTCGTCATTCGCTGCATTTCGCTGCGACATATCCCGCAAATCTCATGATGCCCAGCCTGCGACGAAGCGCGACGGAGTCTTGATTGGCTTGCCGTTTGCAGGGGTCGGAAATCTTTTTTCCGAGACCGTCGCGCCATCGCCATGTATCAGTTCATTTGTTTTGTGGGTGGCAGCACTGTCGAATGGTGGCTGCATTCGCGCGCTGGTGCGACCCAGTACGCTAGCCAGAAGAGCTTACCCTCTGAAACATCGAATGTGTTTGAAGCGACTTCCAGAAGGTTGGAACATGGGTTTAGGAGGATTAGTGCTAGGATGCTGTATGCTTTTATCTTAAGGCCATGACTTTCTGGGTTCTACTCTAGCTAGGCAAACATCGCATATTTCTTACACACTGGATTGATTTCTCGAATTGGTGTGGCCATTTCGGCTAAGCCTGCTGACGGGAGGCAAGAGTTGCAAGGGGGCGGCAAAGAAAGATGTACGTGCAAGAGCTAGACGTGCCTATAGAAGTGGCGTCGGTTAGTGAGGAACAGCTACGTTGGGGGCGCCACCAAGGGAACAGCTTTTGCGGAGCTATAGCTAAGCAGATCTGCGACGAGCTAGGTGCACCCTGCCCTCTCGGGACTGAAGGATGCCGTGCTGGAGTGGGTACGGGATGCCAGTAGGGAAACTAAGCTCTACCAACGAGCCAGTGGGCGTTTAGCAGCAACCTGTATGCTGTGATAGAAGACGGCCGGCCACCGCCGGGAAGGGGAACCGGCAACTATTGGCTCATGATTTCACTTCACAGGCTAAAGAAGAGAGACTCCAGGAGCGACGGGTGATCAAGCTAAAAACGGAGCTCGAGGACATTGCTGCACCCGTTCTGTCGAAGTTATAAGGAAACCTTGCGGTGGGTCGCACCTGTTCTAGCACGGTTCTAGCACGCTAAGGCTGAAGAGGTATCTGATGCTTGTGGCTAGGAGGGGTCAGGCTGAGGCTTCCTCCCAGCAGGCCAGCGGACCTCGTGAACTACCTGTTAACCTGCCGGGACAAGCACGGTGCTTTGTTGGGGATCCGGGTATGAGCCTGGAGCAATCTATTGAAGGTCTGGGGGACCCTGCATTGGTCTGACCTGCAGGCTGTTATCCCTGGTGAGCTCAGCTTTGTCGAGGGGCCCTTGGATCCCCGTACCACTGGATGGCTGTGCAGGATCCTGGACCGGCTTCTGGAGCATTCGACTAGCTACTGCAAAAAGCGTGGAGCGCAGAGCGGCTTCAGGGCCTCTTGACGGTCCACACTTGTGGAAGAAGTGCTCAGCTAGTGCAGTTGTGCAGTTGAGCCCTTTTCCATCTCGCCAGTCCTGTTGCCTTTTGGAGGAGTTGCAGCTGGGTGGTGGGTGGTGATTAGGCTAGTGTACGCATTCGTGCCCGTGGTACGACCGTGCACGCTGACCCAGAAGATCTTACCCTCTGAGTTATCGAGGGTGTTTCGCTAGGTAAACATAGCAGGAGGTCTCGAAATCGTGTGGCCATTTCGGCTAAATGGCTTCCTGAAAGGAGGCACGCTTGAAATGCCCACCCGTCCCCCTGGAGATTGGCTAGCGAAAAAAACTCTAGAGACCTTCTCCGGGCTGACAGGGATTCGGTCCACACAGGAAGAAGTTCTCTGCTCGCGCGTGTTGTAACCTCGAGGAGCTGCGGGGAGGTGGTGGGTGATCAGTAGGCTGGTGTACGTCAGAAGCACGTGTAGTGACCTCACACCCATTGTCGATGCGACCGATTGGCACATCCGGGTCACATCCGACATACACAATTTCTGTTGCAGGCCGGGGTGTGCTCAAACTGCAGAGTGGGCATGTTCTAAGCGGTGTCTGGAAGTCACGACCTTGGAATTGGGATAACACATGGCTTTTGCTGAGAGTGCAAGTGACTTCAGGCAAGGCGAGCTCGCCCAGGCGAGACGAGTTGAGTTGAGAGTTTGCGTCGAGATTTGACTTCCGGTTTTGGAGGATCTGTTCTGTCAGGTGGTGGAGTTCGTCTTTTCGGCGGACTCGCCCTGGAAGAATCCAGATTTGTGAGTTTCACCCAAGCTTGGTGCGACTATCGCTATTGATATCGTGCCGATACCTTCTCACATGTTTCGATTTATGTTATCTCGGCCGAGTTGCTGGCAGAGGCAGCAGGCTGATTCGTACCACTAGGGCGGCACCCTCGATTCGATGCGCATCGACGCCTTATCCATTCCCTTGATAAGTCCAGGCTCAGCCAGGATCCATTGGGTGCCGCTTCAACGAAGTGCGGGCCTCAAACGTGCATGCCACTCTTTGAGTGCTGCATGAGGGAGCCTCAAACACAAAGATGTTTGTTCCTGCTCCAATGAGAAGCAGATCGGAGTGTCCGTTCAGGCGTTTAGGGTTTCAGAGAACTCCTTTCCTTTGCTGCTTCCGTTTCTGTGTCCCAGACAGCAGAGCCGAACTCCGAAAGCAAAATGCCCACCCAAAAAGTCGCCTCAGCAGTTCCGTCTGCCGACTTGACTTGAGAAGTCTTGAGGAAGGAGGACCCGCGCACGTCATGCCGTCTTCGGCAAGTGCTCAACAGCGTAACAGGCTCAACACTTCTATCTCAGATGACCCGGAACTGCAGGTAGTATCTCGCGATATCTTAAAACCTTCAGGAATTCAGCGCTCTGATGTGCATGGCTTATCGCTATGGGATATGATCCTGTCCAGCGCAGCCTGCAATGGAAGCGCCGTGTGGACCAGGAGGCTGCGGGGGGCGGGAGGGCCACCTGCAAAAGCAATGGACAACACGTCGCATCGTGTCGTGTACATTTGCAGCAGCCGGTCTGCACCACGTCCGTTCGACTACCTTATAGCTGCAAAAAGCATTCAGAGCGGCAAGATGGACTGCGACCTACTGCCAAGCGAAACGAGCACGAAGTGAGTTGACCCAGGCGTTCAAACAAAGGCAGTGTACCCATGCGCCGTGTTTGGTTTCTTCCTACCAGTAGTCGGAGTTGATTGGGTCAGTGCCCAAGGCGTCAAATCGGGAACAAGTGGTGTTGCTTACGGAGGTTTCCAGGAATGCAATGATGTCAAAGTAACTTAGAACAGAACATAACAAGACTACTTGAGCGCAATATTCGTGAAGTGTGGGTTTAGTTGTTCTGTTCCGTGTTGGCTGTTTTGCATCTCTGGTCTGTTGTCTTTTGAAACTACTGCGTGTGTTGCTCTTCTTTTCTCGAATCTCTCCTTACCTTATCTCTTCTCCCCGTGTTTCTCTGTTCATTCTAGTCGTCTTTCTTGTTGATGGTCGCCTCTTAGTTTGGTCCGCGTGTCTGGGTTGTTCTCCAGAGAGGGGCTGGTCCAAGTCTTCAGTGCTTCTCGCGCGCTTTGGGCTCCGTGAGACAATTTTGACGATTACCCGGACATTCCTAGCTTTCTGATCGCTTCGCATGTCCGTGTCCGCATTTCTGCTTGCCGACAGATTGCCATGCATGACAGCATCCTGGGATCGCATTGCATTGCATGCTGACAGCCTGCTTGTCACGAATTACATGAGCTGCCATAGGGTCTTGCTTCCACCGTCGAGAGCGTCACATCTCGGTGCGAGGAGCTTGCGCTCTGTCAGCGGTTCCTTGCGGTAAGCGCGGCCCAAAGATTCCCTGCTTCTGCGAGGCAAACTATGGTGCCTTTACCTGCGCATGTAACAAGCTGCGAGGCAGAGAGCCACACGAAGCAATCGAAGACAGCTCGCCACGCTGTCCTGTTTGCCTATTTCAAAGGGCGACCGTTACGAAGCGAAAGCAAACTCATCGGCCTCCTCTCCGCAAAGACCTGGAACCCCTCCTGTCCAAGAGAGCCTTCCACGATCATGGTAAGTTTTTGTACATTCTGCCGTTGTACTTACATCACGGTGGCAGGGGCTCAAGCAAGATTTAAGATGCTGTGAAGAGCAAGGCCAACTTCGAGGTTTTTTCCGATTCCATGTTGGATTGATGTCATGGTACCAGGTACTCGGCCAGCATGGCCAGCGACCAGCCAATACACACGCACATATAAGGACACAAGCACACATACCACATGCGCACGCAGGTGCAGTGACGAAGCTAAGTCGCATCATTTCGTTTGGATCCCACCCCGCAACCGGGGAAGGCACCGGGAGGGTCGCATCACCGAATGTCTACTTGGACCTCCTTTGGCGATTCCGGTTCATCACATATCTTCAACGCCCCATCGTTTGGTTAATCGTGGTTGATCACCTTTCTTAGACCCGCCTGCTCATTAAGCTTTTCCGGTTCTTCGCATGTCTTCACCACCCGCTTTTATTGGGCGAAACCCGGGCCTGGCGATTCCGGTTCTCCACATTTCTTAAACCCGCCCCCACCTTTGGCGACCCCGGCCCATCACATTTTTTAAACCCGCCCCGTCTTTTGGCGAAACCGTTGATCACATATCTTAACCCTTTGACTTCAAACAAAGTTGGTAACGCGACACTTCGAACCCTAGGCCCTAGACTCAAGACTCACGCTGAAACGTCAAAACATCAACGGGCTTTCGAACTCAAGCTTTCAATATGTTCAATCTCCAAACTTTTTCGAAGCGTGAAAGTTTCAACTCTTGAAAACTCCAACCATTGAAAGTTTCGAACTGTTAATCTTTCAGACTCTCAAACTTTCAAACATTCAAGCTCGCCTGGTTTCTAACTTTCAACTCTGGCCTTTTCAAGCAAAATCGAGCCCGGGAGCTGCTCCGTCAGCCCCCTCCTCGCACGGCACACGTCGCTCCGGCTTCAAACTTCCGAGCTGGATTCTCGATTAAACGTTCACACTCCAAACTCGCGCTCACTTTCAAACTCTTTCATTCTCCAGACTTTTTCAAATTTTAAAACCCTCCAATCTCGTCCTACGCTTGATACGTTCAAACTTTCGAAGCTTCGAGTTCGAAAAAGCCCACTCGTGACACCTCTCAAGTTTTCATGTGGTCCAAGTCCCAACCAGCGTGCAAGCTCCATGCAGCTGCCCGAAGTCAGCAAGTCTGCCCGAAGGCTGCACGGCGGGCTCATGATGGGTTGCTACTTGCTAAGATTGTTTTTGACGGCAGGTGCACAGAGCTGTCCGACGATGCATGGTGCACTACAGGCAACAGCGCATGGATGTGTCCTGGGCTTTGCTCCTCAGCCCTGTTATCCCGTTGAGCAGGGCTTCCTTCCGTGCCGGTGACGCCTGTTGTGCGGTCTGTGTGCCCAGCGCTCCTTTCGTTTCGCTGTCATGTCTTGTAAAACAAAGCAGCTTGCACGCACAGTGGTTTTATGTTGGTGACGAGCCAGGTTGGACTTCAGGCAAACGCTGGATATGGATGCTGAAGGTCGTCATCAAAGTTTTAGCTTTCAATCGGAACAAGATCAGCTGGGCAGCATCCATAAGTCTACACTGTGTCTAAGCCTAGGACTAGGTTTCGCACTTCCGCACGCAGAGACATGGCCAATCCGATGGGCCGTCAGCTGTTGTGCAATGGGCTGCAAGCTCTGCGTCACAGCGTGCGCTCAACAGCGCTGAAGTATTTGTCATTCTTCTCGATCACCAAGCCTTGAGCCTTCCGATCAACGGTCGTGCAACAAGCGAGCTTTGTGCAACTGTTGCAGAGTTTGTGAGCTGTTTGACAATAGACAGACATAGATGGAGGCCTCCCACACCTAGCAGATGGAAGCTGGCACTTTCAGGGTTTAGGGAGCGCTTTGCATGCTACTCTGGAAACAGAGATCATGATACCTCCACGAGCAGAGCAACATTCGCTGCAGGGAGTTGTAGCAGCACGTCTTCAGGGCTCTCAAAGCCTTCGAGGCGGGACGCAGCAGACCTTGGCTGTTTTCGGCGGTCGGCTGAAATGGCCTTTCTGTGCCGAGAAAAGCGCATGAGGCACTCCACAAGTTCCATAAGTTCCTGTCCGTGGAGACCCAGGCAAAACCTCTACTGTCGTGTCGCATTCGTGCGAACGCGCTTGTCGAGCATCGCGCAACGGCCGAATTGGCATCATTAGAAGTAAGTTTCAAGCATGAACTTGTGCAGGGTCTCGTGCGAATGCAGTTACGTGGCAGGCTTGCAAGCATCCATGCTGGTGAGGCGCCGGACTTGTCTCAAGGAATGTATTGAAACCTCAAGCTGAATACTTGTAACACAAGCTCTACCGCCCTACTTGTTCTTGTCGACTGTGATCGGAGTGCCATGTTGCTGCGAAGGTGACAAGAGCTGTTTCTCCACTGGCTGCCTTCCAGCATCTCGCCTCGCCGGTCTTGATTGCAACTCCGGAGGGATCCGACAGAATCCAGACAGCAACGGATCTTTGTTGGCAGATCACCGAACGAGGCGAGAGGAAAATGCAAGAAGGCCGCACACGAGGTGCTGCGCGGGGCCACGGAGGATCCACAGTGTCGTGCATCGTGACATCTACTGCGCATGCAATTGACATGGCTCTTTGTCAGTTCTAGACTTTGAATTTGTTGACATGTTTCCATACAGCGGATCCAACAGCATTGCAGCACCCTAGTACATGGCAGTAATATCATATCATGGATCGGGGCAGGCACAAGCCTGACAGCTTTCAGCAAGCGAGCCAGGTGCCTCGGTCAAAGACAGCCCGGCAACGTGCTGAAAAATCAGCATGGGGACTTCAATTCACAGCCTGGACGCAAACAGCCCAGATCCAAGTCGCGCTGCAGCGAGCAGCACAAAAGAGTCACGTGACAGACAGGTTGTCGTAGTGAAGTACAAGTGAGTAAGACCTTATCATCAGGAGCTTCTGCCAGAGCACGGTTCACTCATGCTCAAAGGCTAGGCGGCTAGAAGGAAATTGCGAAATTGCACAGATGGCTCTTCCATATGCAAGTGTACATAGAACCGTGTCTTCACCCTGTTGCCGCATGGCCTGAACACCAGGCCGGTGTAAGTCTCCCGAGAGCCAGATACAATGCCAGGTCTTCAAGACAGCGACACGCTTGGGGACGCTTGCTGGATGGACAAGTTGTTTAGAGTCTAGAGTCGCACGGAATCTTCTGCATCATGGTGAACGATGGTGAACGTAGAACATCGTAGAACTGTTGGTGCAGCAGCTTTTACGGCTCTGCTGCTACAGCCCCTGTCACTCAGCTATGCAGCTCGGAAGGGCGTTCTCCAGAAAGATCAGCCAACACTGACCCGATTCTTGACCTGAAGCAGTCGACCCGCAGCCAACACTGCAGAATTCTTCCTTGAACGACACCGCAATGGCTGAAAAAGAGAAGAAAGAGAAGAAAGAGAAGAAAGAAAAGGATCCAAAGGACAAGAAGGAGAAAAAGGAGGAGAAAGATGATAAAAAAGATAAGAAGGAGAAGAAGGCAAAGGTTGGTTGAGCCTGTGAGTGTTCTCGAAGACTTGTGTTCGAGTCAGGAGAAGCGACGAGATGAAGGCGGTCTAGACTTGTGGGCATCCACAGTGGACAACACGGGCTCCTTCGCCGGAGCCAATGCTTATGGCGGTCCCAAGGCCAGCGACCCAGCGGCAACTGCCAGGGCATTATGAGCCCTATTCTGAGGCGCCACAAGACAAGCGCGAAAAGGAGATAGCGAAGGAGAAGGAGATCAAGAAGGCGTCGACGTGCCTTGCGTACGCAGACTCTCAGAGAAGTTCAAACCATTGATGCTCTACGACTCGTCGAAGAACAGATAGCCAGATAACGAGACAGAATTGAAACATGCGGACTAGCAAACGCACGGACGGGCAGACAGACAGAGACGGAGGCAGAGACACCCCACTTTTTTGCAGTTTCAGTTTCAGTGGAACGTGTCGTTATGCGAGCAGTCCTGACATGCATTTCGGTGTCAGCTCCAGCGACGGCAGAGACTTTGCAGCTGCTTGCATTCGGGCCCTCGAGGATGCAGAGACGAAGAGCTTGATCGGAGTGAGCGACGTGATCTCTGCAACGCTCAAGAAGCAACACGAGGCCTCCAGGACCATGTCAGGCTTACCGCAAGAAGTTGACACAGTGGCCCGCAGGCCAAGAAAGAGGAAGCCAGGCAATGTCGTCGGGATGACTTGTGCACGACGTGTTAAAGTTTGAACGGTTTCATGCAATGTATTAGGAAGGAAGCTGAAAAACGGAACAAGGCAATAAGGGCAGCTCGGAAAGTTCGACGCTCAGAACTTTGCTTGGCTTTGCTAGCCCGAGTCTCCTTCTCTGAGGAGCAAGAGACCAAAGATGAAGCAGATGACACGTACCAGATTATGGTCCCCTTGGCTTGCATTGAACCGTTTGGAGATTCTGCACGCTGCTAAGCTGCGAAGAGGACAAGAGCGGCCTCGGAAATTTCATGGTGCCGTGCCCGGCCTGTTCGCACTCTCGACGTTCCAGCACTAGCGAGTCGTCGGTCACAGGAAAAAACGGAAATTATGGACATCATGAAGAACACCGTGAAAACAGCTGTCTCGCAATCGGGGTCACGATGCCAGTCATGTCCCCAGCTCTCAGCCATTCCATATCCGTGCCAGCTAGTCAATGCCCCAGCTCTCAGCCATTCCATACCCTCTCGCATAAGACACGTGCCAATGTATGTTTGTTATCGAGGGTGTCAACGAGAACCTTCATGGACGAGAAGCTCTACACCAATGCACAAGCCAAATTCGAGTCCCTGGGTGATCTAAAGGCTTGATCAAGCAGTGAAAAGATTCGAGCTCTCGGTTGCTCTCTTCTGCAGGCTGTCAAAGGCTTCACCTTCATCCGTGGTCCCAAGGAGGACTGCAGAGCTTCTCATGGCTTCGCAGGTTTCGAAAGTTCGCCCCAGAGGAGCCAGGAGTCAAGCTGACCCTGCTTCGACCGGCGACCGTGTACGTGGCTTTGAGCAAGGCTCCAAACGAGGTGCAGATGCATACTGGAAGCAGTTTCGCTGCAAATTGCAGATATCTTACGTCACATGTTAAACAGCGCAACCCGAGCTTTGAATTCTGCGCACGGGGGTTTTGGACCGTCGTCGCCAAGTTCATCACATGGGTTTGACTTTGAACCAGACTCGTGCAAGAGCTTGAGACTATGGCGTTAAGCGCGCAACGCTTCAAACTTCAAGCTGCAGCCCTACAGCCTTCAGTGCTCACCTAAGTTTGGAAAGGGGAGTGCTGGCATGGCATGGCTTGACCTGGCAGGATGACCCTTTTCTGAGGACCTGGCAGGCCAGAAGCAGGGCGTGGGCTGCTACCAGTAGAATGATCGAGGTGTCTCATCGTTTATCTTGTTGTGGCGAGGTGTTGGGTTCGGACTTCAATCTGCACTTTGGCTGAAGCTGAAGTCGCATGATGCTAGTCGTTAGGCTTGAGCTGATTGAGGCCTGAGTTCTCCGAAGATATCGCGCCTATACACGAGGTCAAGAAGAAGGCTTGCAATTCACATATCGAAGGGTGATTACTATGAACACAATTTTGCAGTTGCAGGTCTACCGCGACCCAGACAATAGAAACATTGAAGTTCCGAAGCCGCCGCCTGGGCTAGAAACCTGCCTCGTGTTTGCTGGAGACCAAGCTTATTTTGATAGCACCTGTTTGATGCAATGGATTGGTGAAAGCTGGCACATTGTTGAACGGTCACAGAGGTCCTTCCAGACTTTCACGCGGAGATGTTTGGAGAGGACAGCTGCCTCTTCTTAAACAACCTTGTGCACGGTGAATCTCTGAGTTCGTGTGCAGAAGGAGAAGCTGTCAGAAGAGGAACTTCAAGAGAAGCCTCTCCCCAAGACCAAAGCAGGGGCATGGCTCACTGAATTGAGTCTTGCTGCGTTCCTGCGGGATCCTGCGCGTGTCCGAGGGAGCGAGCAGAAGCTGCAGCCAGGTCGGGTCTCCGGTTCCCGGTTGTGGTCTGGCGGTCCAGCACGGTTGGGTGGAGCTCTTGAGGCGCGCTGGAAGATCTGCCGCATCCAGTTCAGCCAAGGACAGGTGCTGTTGGATCAAGCTTTTGTGTGGGGAAATGCTGCTCGTGTTTGAGTGATTTTGAGTGCAAGCGCTGCTTCCGCCGACCCTACGACCCCAGAAAACCCGCCAAACGTTGTGCGGGCAAGAAGTTGACGAGCTCCGGATCCGCCCTCCTTCAACCCTTTTTCGGCCCTTCGGTTCCCTTTTTTGTCGGCTCCGAGCATGACACAAGCGTATTTTGCCCGTGCCCGGCACCCTCCCCGTCCCCCCTCCTTCCCTGTGCTGCTTTCTTTTATTTAGTCTTGCACATGCCAGCCATTCGCGCGGTAGTTGGTTCCCGTCCAGGAGCAGGCCTGTGTCAGATAGCCGCAGTCGCACGAACATCCGGTATGGTTGCCACGGTCATGGCAGAATCGGTGACATGGCCTTGTCTGCCAGCTTGGAGTTTTTTGAAACAGAATCCTTGTGGTTCGAAAAATTGCCTGGGTATCCCGGGTCTATGGCTGGACTGAGGGATTCGCGTTCTTTGTGTGTGTGGGGGCGACCACTGCTCGGAAGAAGCCGACCTATTGAATGCATGGCGCAAGGGTTTCAAGACAAACTGATCAAGGATAGCGTATCAAGCGTCTGCCCTCGCGAGAAGTTTGTGCACAGGACTTTGTACCTTGAAGTCTGCCAGTTCAGCTTGTTGCTGAAGATCGCAGACATAAAGGACAGACAAGCGAATTGACACCGACAAAACATAGAAAAGCAGAGACCGATGAACGTCTTCAGACACAGGGTAGTCTACCCTTTGCCAGGGTTGAGGTGGAGCTTGGAATGGCAGGAAGCAGACACTGCCGAAGGGTTGCTATTTGTGATCTGATCTGCGCAACTTCAGATCTTTCAGTGCACAAGCGTGCGCGAGCACATGCTGCGGCGCCCTCCTTGCCACTGATTAACTTCGCCAGGCGATAGCGACAGTAATCATATAGTAGTGATTGTGTTCAGGCCTACAAAAATGATTCCAAGAGCACTGTGCCGGTGAAGACGGACATGCTGGTGGAATTATTTCTTTGTGCCGAACCGCAGGAAGCGCCATCCAAGGCTGAAGAACTCGAGGCATCTAGTTGCCTGTCCACGTAACATTCGTGGCTTCTGCTGTGAGCCAGGCAATCCTCAAGAAGGTGGAAGCTGGAGAGAAGCTGTCGAACAAGGAGATGATAGCCGCGTTGCCTGCACCCTCCAATACGGTCTCCTCAGCGGCCACATGAAGTGTTCTATGCTCTAGCTTCACAAGAAGGGGACCAAGTAAATCCGGGCTTGACGCATGGGATCTAAGCAATGGGCTTGTGCAAAGGAGAAGAGGGCTTACGACAAGCATCAAGAGAAGCCGGGCCCTGCGTTTTCATGTCCTTGGTGTTGTGTTGGTTGGTGACACAAGCAGTTCAGGAATGTCGTGTACAAGAACGAGGACGATGAACCGGTGGGTGGAATGAATGCTTTTAGCATCATCCTTGAGGCCCGCGCTTCACCAAAAGTGATTCATGATTTAAGCATCATCACATTCAACGGCATGCAAGGGTGGCAAGAACGAGCCTCCGCCTTCTGGCGATGCTTTCGTCTGCAACAACTTCACGCTCTCGGCGCCGAAGCAGACTTTGTTCGACAATGTAGTGGCCCCGGTCGAAGCGACGATGCTTTTTACGTTCCATTCTCGGTTTTTTTTTCCCAGCCCGCGCGCAGGCGAGCATCACCATCGTTCAAGGCCACCGCTATGGCATCCTCGGACCGAATGGTCAGGCCAGGTCGAGAGTTCATAGAACGCGACCAATGCCTAGCTTGTGGCAAGCCCTTCGATTCCAAATCATTCCAAACTGAGAACTGGCGTGCAGTACCAGAGTTGTGAGAACTGTTTCGGATCCCAGACAACTGCAGGGAAAGACCACGTTGCTGCGGCACATCGCGGCGCGTGAGATGCATTGGGCCCAAGATTTGCTAATCATCGGTGGAGATGCAATCCTTGACCTGGGTTTCGCTCTGACAGTCAGCAGTTCACTCGAAGGCTTCTCTACCTCTACACAAGCACGCAGCATGCTTGGCTTGCTAAGGCCGGTGCCGGTCAATTGGGACGTCATTCTGGTGGAACAGGAAGCGAAAGCAACGGAGCGGTCTGCAGTTGAAGAAGTGCTGGCAGCGGACATCAGGTGGGTCTTCGGCTAACATTAACACCACGCAGTCATCGTGTCATTGCATCTGTGACTATGTGTGACAGGGCGGCGGAGCTGATCAAGAGAGAAGAAGACCTGCTTCAGAAGCTGGAGGATTGTTTTTCGCTGACCAACCAATCCTGCATCTTAAGGGCACGAAGAAAGTGCATGAACAGGACATGGAGACAGCCATGGAGAAGGGAGAGGAGGTCTCCGCAGATGATTTGGAAAGGACCGTACGCCCATGGAGCTGTGCAGGGACAGTCGAGGCTGACAACGGCTGAACCATTTCAGGATGCGCTCTGATCTCGAGAACACCTCTGCAGAGCTTGAGGCCAGAAATGTGTTTTATCAATGAAGGTGCGTCGGAGGGTTGCTTTGTGCGCCTGCGACTGTTCTCCTTTCTAGTCCTTCCTGTTGCGCATCCGCCACAACTATGGTGGTCTTCGTCGATTGGGATATCTGCAAAATCGAGGTCTTAGACCTTCGATGAACGAAAATCTCCCACAGCATTTTCAGAGCCAGAGTACCCCTAAATGACAAGCTCGCCAGCAACTGCTAGATTGTCAAGCGTTGAACATTCAGCCGAGCCATTGCTGCAAGCTGACAGCCAGCCTCCGCGAACAAGCCCTACGCCCCTAGGCCCCAAGAATCTTGAATCGTCCCAGGCCATCGGTGCAGATTCTGCCGAAGCTAGAGCAACTCCGATTGCACTGGAGCCTGACAGCCTGCGCGGACATTCTGTACAGCGCAGGTTTCCTTTCATACTGCGTGCTCAGGTTCGAAAGATTTTGTGTGGCAATGGCCTCGGATCTGCTGCGATGCTTTTCGCCGCATTACTGTCAGCATGGTCTGCTGAGGCTTGGGATTCACAAACGGCCATCCAGATGAAGACCGGTTTTCAATGGACAGGCCCTTGACGATTTTGCTGGCTTTCGATGTGGTTCATGCAGTGTTTGTGGAGTGTTGACGAAAGCTCACCTCTGATTGCCAAGTCAACTGTGTAACTCACAGACTTCGCGAGCCTGGCAGGCCTGTGGTGCAGTTTTCGGGAGGATGGCGAATGAGAATCAGTTTAGCGAAGGCGCCGAGATCAGGAGCACTTGGAGACAAAGTGACTGCAAACACCCACCCACACACACACAAACAAACAAGCAAGCAAACAAACAAACACACGCACACACACACGCACACAAAAACAATCACACACAAACACACACAGACAGAGAGACACACAGACTTTGCGGGCGGGACGAGCTGTCACGTTTTACAAGTAAGCCCCGACTTGGACGACTTGAATCTTGCAAAGTCTTGCTGTGGTGATACTGATACTTGTAATTCCGCTTGCTCGCGGTGGGCACCCTGTCAACGTCACAACGTACCTGTCATCACTCAGATGTTTGCGCACGTGCCGTGTTGCTCATCATCCGTAGCCTCTTAACGTGAAGCCAATTGAATGCAACTCAGCAAGGGTAAAGTGCGGCCACTGTGTCTGCCATCTAAAGTCCTCGGAACCGTGGGTAACATACCATTGATGTGGAACATTGTGGAGCCAGAACGAGCCCCGAGCCTCATTCAAACCGAAGCTTGAGGACTCCTGGCAGGGAACCTGCACTTTACAATCTGCAATTCAAATCACCAGGGCACCGAACAAAGGCTTGAGAGTGGACGTGAAAATACAGGACAAGACTATCCGGAACTTACAAGACGTTCACATGTCTTGTGCAAGTTCTCTACTTTCACTTCGTGCTCGCAATGCAGCCGGCAGGCTGGTAAGCCGACGAGCCCTCGGTTTAGGGTGTAATCAGGGGTTTAGGCTTTAGGGAGCAGCGGCACTTCGAATTGTTTGTTTCTTAGCTGGCTCATCGGCTTGTCGGCTGTCGCACGGTTTGGGAGCAAAAATGCACGTGCACTGTACTTCACTTCCATACCTTGTGGATTTAATTGAATGCAGCCAGATTCCACGGAGTTCAGCCAGCAGTCGCCTCCTACCAGTCTTTGCCGGCATTCGCCCGCCAGCTCCGGTGCAAAGGTTTCCATTCGGGAGGGGCAATTATGACTATGACCTGAACATGAATTGAACAACTATGGGGTGATGCTCAAGCGCCGCTACACAACTAACATCCTGCAGACCCGCCGACAAGCGCCCATCCACTTGTTCAGGGCAACCCTGACAACTACCGTTCTGTCATGTGCTGCACTGCATAGAGATTTTGTGGAGTCATCCACTGTGTTGCGGCCCTTGGCATTCAAGGCGCTGTTCTTGCAGCCAAAGCTGCTGATGCTAGATGAGCCAACAAATCACTTGGATTTGGATGCAGTGCGAACCTCACTTGCTCTACCTTCCTGCTGTGTGAGAAGACGACTCTCGTAACCTGTAAATGCATTCGTACTTGCATCTCTGCTTCTTGACTGAGCTGTTCCACTTGAACGTCGCTGCTGTTCTCAGGTTTTGTGGCTGGACACCTACCTGTCCGAGCACTATCCCCACTCTGTGGTCGTTGTGTCGCACGATGCCGACTTCCTCGATAGCATTTGTAACTTCGCTGACTGTGACTTTAAGAGCGGGCAGGAGGGAGCGGACGGGCATCGACGGTCGAGAACTCTTCGGTGTGAGCGTTCATGGACGAAGCGACAATGAACGGCGCACGCGTGTGGCCTGGGCTTGCGGTGTTGCTTAGGAAGAGCAACTTTGAAAAGCAGCTGGTATCAAGCACCGGCTCGCGGCAGATGTTTAAACTTGTCGTACGCATTTGATGTTTGCTGCCTTATTGCTGGCGGCGCGATCCAGCAGCTCCCGAAGCTCCCAAGGCAGTCTTCCAGGATTCAGAGTGCCTGGAGACCGTGTTAGTATAGCTAGCAGACGCCAGTGGGTTGACGCACCTGAAGGAGTGCGAGGAAACCTGGTTATTGTTGTCCCAGCACGTGAGCTCATCAACCGGTTGCTCGAATCTTCTTTGGTTGTTCACGCTAACGGCTGGCTGACACCCCAAGAACGGCCAAGACGTCAGTGGTTTTTTCATGACGGTGCCTTGAAGGCCAACAAGCGCCTTTTATTTTACGGCGGGGTGGGCCGGGTAGGGCAGAGGTGCAGGGCGCGCACGGCAGGCTCAAGCAGCTAAGGGGGTTAGGTGGGGTAACGGGCAAGGTCCTGGAATCAACAATCCTTCACCACAGGCTTTGTTTACGGTGGGTTCACTGACGTTTGTGGCAAGGTTTTTGGACTTAGAGTTTAATTAACTTTCTGGAACTTGTTTCCAGCTCCATGTTTCCTGAACAGCCCGGCCCCCACCCTGTTCCGCGAGTCACTACCCTAATTGCTGCTACTCGTAGCTTTACGTGCCTAATCTATCTCCTAATCATCCTAATCTGTTTCGTTCTGATTTGCCCAGTTTCCTCTCGTCCGGTTCCCGACCCATGGTTGCCCGACTCGGTGCCCAATCCAGCGCTGCATTGGTTCTGCTTGAAGTATTCTCTGCCGACTCTCTAAGGCCCCCGATGTTGCCATGAAAAAGCTGTATGTTCATGCGGTGCGTACGGGGGCAGTCTTCACACTACCTTTCTGAGTGGTGCGTCTGATGATGCTATCGTGGCGAGCAGTCCGACACAGAATGCCAGTAGCACCAACAACTCCATTGTTCAAGAATCTCCACTGAGGTAGTAGGTCTCTGAGAATGCTGTCGATGTTAGAGCCACGAATGCTGAAGAAATTAATTTGAACATTACACCGAACGTTACGTCTGGGGGTGCATCATGTTGCCCAGCAATATGATGGGGCCACGACATTTTGATGTCAATATTATATAAGCTGACGGAATAAACGCTGCGACTCGGCCTGCTGCCTGCCCATCTGCGGAATTTCCTTAATGTTTTCGTGTTTGCCTGTCAGTCACGTTGAATGTGCTGATGGCAGCAATGCGCTTCAATTGCTGAAACGATGGGCCAGGACACGTAAGGAAAGGTTTCCTTTGCATCAAAGCCCGGACCAACAGTGCCAACATATTTCACATGTGACCATGTGTGTTTAGCCCGAACGGCTTGCCCGATGACCCAGGTACAGATATCTTGCATTTGGAGGAGCCTGGCCATATGCAAACACGTCACGAAGTGCAAGCAGTGGCCCTTTCGAGTCGAAGAAACCTGAAGGACAGAAAGCTTGTGCACTACCGTGGTGATTACACAGCTTTCAAGAAGATGCACCTGCAGAAGCGGGCGACGTTGGACAAAGAGTACAAGAAGCAGCAGGAGCGTGGCAAGTGTTTTGCCGAGACCATTTTCCGCCGGGATTTTCACCTGGAGTGAGCTTGCGCTCCATCATCAGTGTTCGAACATTGGAGGAGGCACGTTTGGTGCTCACCTGTTGCAGCATACAGGTGGCAAAGAAGTCTTTGCCGTCAGTAAGCATTTCTCGTTGTGTAGGGTTTCTTCCTCCGCCTGTCTCAGTATGCTGTTGGGAAAGAGACACGATAACTCTTGCCAGACATCCGAACTGATCGGCAAGACGCCAACAGGCACAAATCGGTGGTGACCGGGTTTGGCACAAGCTGGGGAGCATGAGAGAAGAACGCAGAAGCACCTAAACCATTGAGTGTGAGAACGGTCGAGCTGAGATTGGGCAATTGACCAAACATAAGATGATTGGACAAGCCTCTGTGTGTGTGTGTGTCCATTTGTGTGTATGTGTGTGTGCACGCATATATGTGCTATGCTGCTATATTTTTGTTTACCTATACATCAGTGTGTATTTGTATCTGTATCTGAATCTGTATATGTACCTGTGCCTGTACCTGTACCTGCACCTCCACATGTACATGCATATGAATATGTATATGTATATGGACATGTGCATGTACATGTACAATGCATGTACATGTGTGTGAAAGTGTACAGTGTAGATGTACATGAACGTGTATATGTGGACCAATAATTGTCGATGTCGGTTTTTAAATGTATCTGCATATCTATATGTGGATGTAGCTGTAGATGTACATGTGGATACAGATGTAGATGTACCTGCATGTCTTCTTGACTTTGGCACGCAGTGTCTCCTACCTGCTTGTCAGTCCGGAAGCTTTATCCGAAATTCTTCGCGAATTCAACCGGCTTCAATATCGAGACTGGATCTCAGTCAGCACCTCCCCGTGTCATATCCTACCCACCGCCTGTTGATTACTTCAGGCGGTGTCTTTCTTTCCCCTCTCGTTAGTGAAAGGACGAGCTCAAAGCTTTGAAGAAGAAGGGCAAGACAAAGGCCACACGGCCACACATTGATGCAAAGTGTTAGTCGTCGGAGTCATCTCCCCGCCAGGATGAGGCTGAGGCTCTTGTGAAGAACAAGTTTGGAATTGATGCCCTCGACGGTCTCATGGAAAAGCACAAGGATTACGTTGTGAAATTCAAGTTTGAGGGCCATGGAATGGACAGATCACTGGGACTCAACGTTTCAGAAGTGGCCTTCAGCTACAACGGGAAGGAGCCGTGGCTGCTTGACGAAGTAGAAATCGGCGTGGATTGTGGATCGCGCATTGCAATCGTTGGCCCGAACGGAGCGGGAAAGTCTACGCTCCTTAACCTGATGATGCAACACCTTGAGCCCTGCGTTGGCGATGTTGCAGTATCCAAGGGGATTCGTATCCGTCAGTACCACCAGCACTTTGAAGAGCTTTTGCCCTTAGATAAGACTGGCATCGAGTACCTTACGGACGAGTTTAATCTTGGTCCACCGGAGAAAGCCCGAGCTGTGCTAGGACAATTTGGGCTGCCAGGAAGCTCCCACTTCACAAAGATTGGAAATCTGTCTGGAGGCCAGAAAGCTCGTGTAGCTTTTGCTGCCCTGATGCTGATGAAGCCTCACATCATTATCTTAGACGAGCCGACGAACCATCTGGACATTGAATCTGTTGAAGCATTAACGACAGCTATCGCCAACTTCAATGGTGGCTTGGTGTTGGTGAGCCATGATGCCAGACTCATCACGGAAGTTGACTGTGAGCTGTGGGTGTGTGAGGATGGGGGTTGTTATCGATTCGAGAAGGACTTTGATGGATACAGGGACAAAGTCCTACACCAGCTGGAAGAACGTCAAGCTGAAGTGGAGCGGATGGAACAGAAACGTCGAGAAGAACGAGCGAAGAAGCGTGCAAAGCACGTCTCAGAAGAGCAGCTCAGAGCCGCCAAAGACCGCAAGCAGGCGGCAAGGGCGACATCCGACTCCAAGGACCCAGCTTCGCATCTGCAGTTGTTCGCTTGAAGGAATTCTGTGCGTGTTTTGTGTCGGGCCCAAGGCGATTTCCTTCAGCACTGGCATTAAAAGGGCAGCGTTTTGACAAGCACTGTTCGTGCATATCCAGGCCCAGCCTGAGATGCTGCAAGCATGAGACAGGTGCAGAGTTTCTCGGTCACAGCTGATGTTTGTTATTGCATCTCACGTAGCCTGGGACCGCCTCGCGGCAGTGTTGCGGTCTGGCGTGCTCGAGATCAAGTGGCGACGCCGGTACGCTGCTGTGTCATTTTTGTCACTCTTCTGTCATTTCATTTGTCATTTGTCTGTTTTGTTTCTGTCGTTGAGCTGTTTTTTTGTTAATTCCCAAACCCCTTGTCATTTGTTTGTCATTCTGAACGTCATTCTCCACCTCCCTTGCCATTTTGGGATGCTCTTGGAATGCAGATCATGGGACCACCGTGCGTGCCCTTAGGCCTGCCAGGAGTCTTGGAAGGCCTGGCGCAGACCAGAAACAAGCTACGAAAGAAAACCACACCAAAAACAACAAATGCACTGCGAAAAATTACAAAGCAATGACAAACGGCGAAACCAACAAATGACACAGAAATGACAAAATCATTACTTGATCAAATCCCACGTCTAGACCCGAACTTCTTGCAAATTTGCGGAAGTTCTCACAAATTTACGGCCATGCCGCGCCATGAAGTCACTTCGTTCAGGCATTTGAGCTAGATTTGCTGCTAAAGCGGTGGGCAAGACACGGTAAGACAGTGTGTCGATGCCTGGACGACAAGAATATCTAGTGCCAGCTTTCGGAATTCCCCGACTTCGAGCTCAGCTGTTGGTGCCTGCAAGTGGCACATCTTTTCGAGTTTGCGCACATTGGCCGAGGGCTCCTCCTCGCATACCGTTTCTGCAACCTGAGGCTGGAAAACAACAGCATGCAACATCTTGAACTGCCCAAGCTTAAGCGGTCAGTCGCGACCCCACAGGCAAGGCATGGCGAGGATGCACAGGTTATCGCAGGTTCTAGTCGGACAAAGCCCATCGCAGCTTATGGCAGGGCTCAGGAGAACTGAAGCCAACGTGCTGCGAGCAAACGAGGCACCAAAAAGAACACATATTTACGTTAAGATAACCAGTTTGCTGCACATGGCACAGCCTGTCCTGTGAGGATGCCGAGAAACGCGCGGACTGACCGAGAGCGGTGTAGCAAGCCATTCATTAGCGCGGCTGCATCGATTTTCCAGCGTCGAGTTTCACTGTGTGTGCAGGTCGGGAGTTCAATCGCGTGCTCCTGTACAAAAGCCTTGCTGGTACGCTTGCCATTCGTGGTTATTTGTGGACATGTTCAGAGCCTGCGCGCTTTTCGCTGGCTCTGGGGCACTTGTTTGCTGCCTGGTCAGCTGGGCTCGATGCTCAAGCCTAGGTTCCGCCAAACTCTCAGTTCTGACATTCTGGAGCCTACGGCACCCCGTGCCGCTCAGCTATTGCCACGTGTTGCCAAGTCCCAGATCAGCAGGAGCCGGGCTCGTGTCCCGCCAAGCCACATCAGCACAACTAACGATCTACTCTCAGTCCATGGCACGCTGTGCAATGCCCCTTTGACCGGCGGCCTTCCATCAGAGAGGCTCGCAGTGTCGTGTCATGAACGCACGCTTTCGCAGGATCAAGCTGGTTCATGCCTTCGGGCAATGGCAGGGGGGTCAGGGCAACCCCGTCGCGTGTATTTAGCCAGTTGTCTCGTCTCGGTTATTGAGGCACTGGGGCCTTTGTGGATCAGTTTTTGCTTGCCCAGAGGCAGACCGAAACAGCGTCAGGATAAGGCACGAGGCCACCAAGAGTACGCCTGATTCCAGGCAGTGGGCCGGTAGTCCCATGGTGCCATTGGCACACCATTGCAAAACGGAGCTCCACTGTGTGAGACTTGCATAGAGGGCCGCCTGAACTGTCCTGCTCGCTTGAAAAGAAGGTATGGTTTCCGCCACTTAGTGCCCTTGCTTCACATCCTCACCAAGCCATTACAAAACTGCAACAAGCATTTTCCATGAAAGGTTGCAGCCATGAGTGGAGGCCACTTGAGCAAGGCCTTGCAGCGGGTGGCCTCAGAGATCAATGCCGGCGCAGTGGGCATCCAGCCTGTGCATCAGGAGTTTTTCGAGCTGGTGAAGAGCATCGGCGAGTCTAGATCAAAGCAGGAGGAAGACAAAATCATTGTGGGCGAGATCGCTATTCTGAAGCAGCATCTGAGTGCCCCGAACATATCGGCAAAGAAGATGAAGGACCTTGCAGACTGAGTTCCTGCAGCTTAGGAAGACTCTCCAGTGACGTAGCAGCGATCCCTTTACATAGCTGGGGAGTTGAAACCTCAACATGTCAGCAAAGAAGCCGATGTGGCTCTAGTCTAGATTTTTGCAACATGCTCAGTCGTGGCTGAGCTGTGCATCCTGTACTGTACGTAGCTTCTTTGTCTGTGGCTCGCCAGCTCCAGGAGTACATGATCCGAGCTGTTTATGCAGAAATGCTCGGTCATGATGCATCCTTCGCATACATCCATGCCGTGAAGCTGACCCACGAGAAGAATCTGTTTGCGAAAAGGACGGCTGTCGCTTCCTTGGGGTCCATGGTCTGGAGTGTGCTGCAAGTCCGGAACCTGTGTTGTCTTTGCTGTAGTGGCTTTATGTTGGTTTTTGATGTCTGTGCGCGAACCCAGGAAGCCAGTGAGTGAGTGAACCCTGGCCCCCGGCACGACAGAAAAGAACAACGCGCAGCCGCAACGACCGCAAATCAAAACGCGCCCCGGGGACAACAGCAAAAAACCGCGCCCCCGCAACGACAGCAAGAAAAAGCACTGCGCCCCGGGGACGACAGCAAAGAAAAAACAACGCGCCCTGTCGACGACAGCAAAGACAACAACGCGCCCGGGGACGACAGCAAAGAAAAAACAGCGCGCCCCGGGGACGACAGCAAAAAAAAGGCGCACCCGCAAGAACAGCAAGAAAAAAGGCGCCCCGAAAACGACAGCCAAACAAAAAATATGCGCCCCCGCAACGACCGCCCTGAAAACGACAGGAAAGCAAAATGCGTAATGGTAATAATATTAATACCAGCATAAATCGTACTAATCATTAGTAGTAATACAAATAATGAAAATGTTAGCAATCATAGAAATACTAGTTACTAGTAATAGTAGTAATAATAGTAATAGTTGTAGGTATAACAATAATCGTAATACTAGTAATAATAGTAGTGGTAGTAATAGCACTACTACTAGTAACGATTATAATATACGAAGAAGAATAGTAATAATATCAACAATAGTATAATACCAGTATTAATAGTAATAATCGTAATACTATTTTGCTGAGAGTTAATAATACCAATAATACTCATATCTCATTCATACCAGTAATACGGTTAAAAAACGCTAACATCACCAGCTGCGCCCCCCCGCAACCCCTGGTTCATGAAAACACTAGAAGATAGAGGTTATCCTATGAAAACCAGGGACACTATGTATTTTTCCTCTGAAAATCTATGAAACATAAAAGAAACAGAATTTAGGAAATTAGGGTTTGTTTGCCCCCGCTTGTGCTAGCTTGATTGGCAGCATCTGAGTCTTTTTGAAACCCATCATGCGAGCATATGTTTGCAAATGGGGGGGCCCCCCACCCTCCCGCAGCTTTAAGCCTTGCCAGCTAGCTTCAAAGTATATGAGAAACCCATCATGCGATCATTCTGTTGGCTGCGCCCCCCGGCTCATGAAAACATTAGACAATAGAGGTTAACCTATGAAAAATATGGGAAATTACAGGTTGTTCTCTGGAAAGCGATTAAGCATAAAGAAAGTAAAAATTAGGAAATAGGGTTTGCTTGCCTCATGAAATATCCAGAAAATAGATGTTTCCCAATACAACCTACAGAAAATAGAGGTTTTTACTATTAAAATATGAGGGTTGTTCTCAAGGTCCGTGTCAACGGTTTATACGAAACCGGCAATGTGACAGGGTTTAAAGAGTTCCGGAAAGATCCACCAAAAGGCACGAAAGGAAAACAGTTCTGCGCCAAAGTTGTATCACGCGATAACATACTACAGGATTCAATTATGTTCTGCTCTAGCATCCACGCAAGCCCTCAAGCCTGTCGCAGGTTTAGCTGTGTCCATGTCACCTTGTAAGCCGTGAACCTTCAATCCTACGGAGAATGAGTTCCTGCACAGTTGCATCGCTTGAGCCTGCAGCCCTTACAGATTTGAACTCCGCGCCTGTCGTCGTACCTTCTGCATGGCGAGCATCTAACTTGAACGAGTCCTCAGTACTTGGATTGACTCGTTCAAGTCACACGGGCCTGGAGTTCGATCTGTAAGGCTGTTGGAGGCTCATATGGTGCAATGTGCAGTAAAGGGAACCTGCGGAGCCTAAAGGGCTTTGTCGTGGTAGTGAGTGACCATGGCTTGTAAGTTTGAGCTCAGGATCGGGGAAATTTTGCAGTGGATTGCGCGAAAGTTCCGCGAGAGCTCCGCGAAAGACTCCGGGGCGCTGTTCTTTTGTTGTCGTTGCGGGGGCGCGTTTTCTGTGTTATTGCTGTCGTTGCGGCCCCGGCGCGTTTTTTTGCTGTCGTTGCGCTTCCCGGCGCGATTTCTATTGCTGTCGTTGCCGGGGTGCGGGTGAAGATTTTTTGTCTGCCGTTTATTCTTTTTGTTTGGCATCTTTTGTGGTGGTGGTGGTGGTGGTGGTGGTTCAAAACAATCCCTATGTGAGAATGGCCAAATGTGAGAACTTTCGCGTAAAAGTGCTTTCCTTTTGTGCTCTTGAGCTTTCGCGCAATGACAGCCAAAAAGCGCCCGTGCAACGACAGCAAACAAAAAACGCGCCCCCGCAACGACAGCAACAAAAGCAACGACAGCAAAAAAGCACTCTTACCGATACGAGTCCTTTGTGCAAGACGGACTCCCTTTCTGTGCCTCTGTCTCAGTTTCATTCTTATGCCAGGATTGGATATTTGACATGCAACCTTTTCCTGCACAGAGATCACGAGCTTATGCTGCTGCTGATCAACACAATGCAGCGGGACCTGGGAAGCGCCAACCACATTGAGGTTGGATCCAGTTATGTGAAGCTGATGTGTGTGCTATGTGAAACTTAGCGCTTGAGATGAAGGCTGCACTTTAGGACTGGATTTCAGTGTCCTTCTGCAGGTGTGCTCTGCCCTGACTTCGGTTTGTCGGCTAGCTCCTGGATGGCAGCCAATATTGCCCATGTCTAACCCGGCCGGAACAAGACTAACATGCCTTTGCATTTCAGTGAAAGCCTCCAGGTCAATTTGGAGATGATCCCGGCAATCTCGCCTCTCGTTTTCAAGCTGCTTTCTCACCCTCAGGAGGCCGACTTGAAGCCTTCCTTGATGCCTTTCGGACTTGTTTCAAGCTTGGCAGGCTGTGCGGAAGAAAGCCGTTGTAGCAGTGCACAAGTTCTTCAAGATCGTACCTGAAGCTGTCCTAGATCAGAAGGACACGGCGCGACATTGCCTTCACCCACGGGCCCTGTCTCACACTGGTGCCTTTGCGAAGGACCAGATTCGGAAAGTCTTATGTGATCCAGATCCATCCGTCATGGGAGCATCCCTCCATGTCCTATGCGAGGCCAAGCTTTCTGTGCAGCGCAGAAGTGTGTCCTCCGCAAGTGTTATCTGACCATGGCTTAGAGCAGCGGGAACGGGGCCGTTGCGAGACCGATGCGAAATCGGTACACTCTTTGCTTTCACTGTGATTCGTGAAATTCACTTTAGCTTCACATATGTCCCGGCCCATGAATATCACGCGTGCTCCGGGTGTGGGTGCCATTAACAGGTATTCTCTGCGATTGCGGCTCTGTGCTATTGCAAATCACATTAGGATGCATCGTAAAACCCAGGTATCGTTTTGCTAGGAAGGACATAACTTGTTGTTTTTGTTGCTGTTGGATCCTTGCGGGCATCCCTTCAGCCTGGAGGAGTCCTGCAGTGACTAGAGTGACGAGACTCTGAGAGTCTGACTTGGACCAAGTGTGCCGCAGCAACAGGACAACACGTGGTATGAGAGTTCCACACGTCCGGCAAGGACTCCTCAAACTTCGCGGTCGGGGCTCGTTAAAACCTTGTGCTCAATCTCTTATTCATCTCACGAGCCTGGCCAAAAACTACTACTGAGGAAGTGTTCACGTAGCAATCGGCTGAATTTTCTGCTTCGCATCCTTTGCTTCTTGCTTTTCTGCTTCGTGTCCCTTTCCTCCTGCTTGTCGTGCAGCTGTAGAGGGTGGTTGAGGACCATGCTGCTCATCCGGCATGTCGTGCAAGACTGCCAGACCCGCTGGCAAGAAATGTACATGCCAGCCATTGGTCGAACTGCTTGCAGGTCGCGAAATCTCATCCGGCTTCATGCAAGGACTTGGTGCCTTCCTTTGTAAGCATCCTGAAGCACGGCTCCAAGTTGTACCGACTTGACGTTCGTGCACGAACTCACGGACCATCTGCCGAGGCAAATAACGGAACATCGCTTGCCGAGAGACTTTGACTACCACCGGATGCCTGCACCATGGCTACAGGCTGGTGATTGCATGATTCAATGAATGTCATGCAAATATCAGATTCTGGTAGGTGAAGCTCCTCTCCATCTTAAGTGTTTTGGGGACAGCCGACAAAGCATCATCCGAGCACATGTATGAGATTCTCCAGGCCAGAACCCGCGTGAACCCATCGTGCTCTCTGGGAACCGAGCTGCAGGAGTGTATGCGTCGTGCAGACAGTGGGGTCAATGTCGGCTACGCCATTATCTACGAATGTGTGAAGTTACTCGGCTTCGGCAAGTGACAGTCTGGAGCAGCTTCTTTTGTGAAAGCATTTCGTTCGCACGACTGTCTCGATATGACGGATAAAGGGAGGGCATCAAGCCGAACAAACCCTCACGTCGACGTGTTTCCGTAGGCCATGTCTTCGGATCTGCTCTGTGTGGGCTGCATGCCTTTGCCCCCTGTGTAGGGCTAACCGAGACCGGTTGCTGCTAAACTATGCTAAATAAACTTCTAACCGACTTCAGCATTGGGTTGCTCGAGATGGCTCGACAGCCCAAAGCTCTTCCGAGCACTTGAAACTGCGGGAGACGCGACGATGCATCGCAAAAAGGCATCAAACAAGCACAGCTACGACTTAGTCATAGAGTGTTGACTCTTGCCCGATTCACGACGTTGCTGTAGAAGTTGAAGCGTCCTGCAGCCGCAATCTTTGTTGACCTCTCCCCCAATGTGCTTCCTTCTCGCATAATCGATATCCTGTTTGCATTTTGGCAAATCGTCACCGTCCGTTACAGTCTCGCGTGCCACCGCTGAGCGGAACAGAGACATGAGTTGATGGCAAGGTGTATCACCAAAATTTTCCCGGACCATGGTCTTTTGGAGCTCGCGGCTTCAAACATTTCGAGGCTTCCCAGACTTGACATGCTAGCTCCTTCATGGTGTTGCGCCATGTGCTGCGGTCCAGCTTGCTTCGTTGAAGGTTCATCTCCTCTGAGAACCACAACTTGAGATATCTGGGTGTTACCGGGCTTGCGCAAATCGTGCAAGTGAATCCGCCTCGCCGGCTCGTCTTGTGCCCTATCCGCGAAGTCCCTGGTGCACTGTGATACAAGGCAAAGCTGTCAGCCAGGACATATGCTGCAGAGCATCAGATGGTTGTCGTGGATTGCTTAGAGGACACTGGAGCCTGCAAGCTAGAGCAGCTAGAAGTCTGACACCGTCTTCTGCATGTGCGTGCAGGATCCGGACGAAACGTTAAAGAGGAAAACTTTGGATCTGTCCTTTTGGCATGTGCAACAGCTCCTGCCTGAAAAGCTTCGGCTCTGCTCCGGGTGAGCCAGGCTTTTCAGAATGACCAACCCGCAGAATGTGGTGGTAGTTGTCCGCACTCAGAAGTGCACCGTGTGGTGTGGCACAAGATGTTTTTTGGGGCAGAGGTCGACAAGCTGAATTTTCATCTCCGCACCAGCGTGGCCATTTCCTCAGATCGTTTGGAACAGCAGCTTCTGATATCCGTGAATCACAAACCAGGATGCGCATCTCCGGCGCGACCTGGTGCAGAAGATCACCTCTTTGGCAGAGCGCTTTGCTCCGGACAATGAATGGTGCGACGGGTTCCGGGTAGTTGAGGATGCACGGCTTCATGGCCACTTGTCGTATCAAGATGTAGATTTAGGGGCAAAGCCATGGCCGCAAAGACGTGCGTGCAAATCGATGCTGCCGGACGAATCCATCACAACTAGAATATCTGTGCTTACGTGTGCCGGGCGCACCGTAAGTGGGAAGAGATCAGTGACATGATTTAAGGACTTCGAGGCTTGCTCTGGTCATGCTGATGGAGCTGACATGTCAAGCCACTGAACGATTTCTGTCGCAGGTACGTGAACACCATGAACACTGTCTTCGAGTTGAGTGGCGAGCTCGTTCCTGCAGAGACTGCTTACAACTTGATGCCTGGCTCTGAGCATCTCTGAGCTCTGATGCAGGCTAGCTAGTCAGAGAGAGATCCAGTTGTGAAGACTTGGAGCAGATCGGCTGTTCGGAGCACAGAGGGGGGTCGGATGCCCGGATACTCTGGCAACCGTGGCCCGACAGGTCTGGTGCTCGTGGGAGAAAATTGCAAGTTCGGATCGCGCAAAAATTCACCAGTCGCCGATGTGAGCCATCGCTCGTGTCGGTGGACGCTACGCTCAGAGTTGGAGGTTTGCACAGCTGCATTTCCCAAAGGAACTATTTCAGCTTGGGCTTAGTCCTGTCTGGACTGCCTCGAGATCTCGTGATACTTAGCTTCAGATCTCGGCGGTTTCGGAACTCTGAGGCGATTGGTGGCAGAAGGTGCTGGGGAGGACGAGTCGGCCGACCAAGCCTTTCGTGTGTTCGCCGTGAACACATACTTGAAGGTTGGGTTTGGGCTTGTGCCTGCATGGATATCAGTCTTTCAATTTGGCTTTTTGGAACACACAATCATTGCAGCTCCTGGAAAAGTCCACTCTGTCGGACATTCTGGTGCAGGCAGAGATCAAGTACCCTATCATCTAGCCCAAAGGATTGTCATTGCGAGCCTTGCAGGTGATTGCTTGGGTCCTTGGTGAATATGCCAGACTTGCAAGTGTGGATGGCTACAGCATTGAAGACATCGCAGATCTTCTTTCCGAATGTATCGAGCGGCCGCGAACTCTCCATGTGTTTGAAGCTTTCTTGTGAAGCGCTTGCACAGAGGCATGGGGTGAATCGCGGCAACAGCAGGTTTGAAGATCCAGCGACCAGAGGATTTCTTGTACATGCCTCGAGCATTGCTGTAAGCACGCATGTCTACCGAGTCTATTTGTCTCTGGGTCACGAGGTGACAGCTCTGATGAAGCTGATTGGCCAACATGGTGTCAAAAGCACGACAGCTGAAGACATCATCCGAAGGACCGTGTCGGAGTGTCATGTTACTGGGCTTGTCTGGGCTCCTGATTGTGCAGTTACCGCTCCTCGCGAATGACGGACCTGCAGCAACGCTGTTACGAGCGCTTGGCCTGGCTACACGCACATCGCAGTCAGGAGCAGATTTCGAACTTGGGACCTGGTTGCGCACTCGGGCTCAGGTTCGAGCAGCTGCGCCAATCGCCAGCCGTGATGCGCAAGGCGGACTCTGGACAAAGGATACATACTTCAGCATGTCGCCTGGAAGGCCCAACATGGTGTGTGCAGCCTTTGGTCTTGCGTTGCAAGGTGTTGCCGTATGATGCCTCCTGCGAAGATATCATCGTCAACAAGGCGAGGCTGGCGTGTGCGGTTTATGCATCGCAGCATGTGAAAACTGCTCCATTTTTCGTCTTGAAGGCCTAACGTGTCATGTCGCTTGCAAAGTACTCGTCCCGTGAGTTGTGAGTCGTTGACGGGACAGCATCAGATTGCTCTGCAGTGGGGCGGCCATCGTAGCCACAGGTAGGGAGGAGTTTTCCGCCTTACCAACTCACAGTACTCGTGTTCATTGGCAAGATGCTTCTCTTTACTCATCTCTCGTCAGGCTCTGATGTTAAATGGAAGATAAAATGTTTGCCAGCCTTTTGTTGATCAGCGCGGGATACCGATACTTCCTGAGCTGTACCGAGTACGAACATCGGGTGAGATGATGGCGATACACTGCCCGTTCGCCTCGACTCGTGCCCTCTTGAGCCACACAGGGGTGCTGTTGCTCTCGCTCTGTGGATTCTGCTGGAACTGCATCTTTGGTGAATGTTGGAGTGATTCGCTGCCACCACCGCCGCCGTTACGTGGTGTCCGTGTCCTTTCTTACGTATGTACAGTACATGCTTCTTGTTCGGAGCCAGGATCAAGCAATCCTCGCACGCGATGAATTGAAATAAAATTCAACTCGTCGTTGTGCGGGCTGTCTGAAAGCTCCCATAGCATGTGACACGAGAATGTGGGATCAACGCGGCATGCAGATTCGAGCCTCTGCAACTGTTGCCGTGAGAGAGATTTCGTCGGCAGTGGATTCCTTTTCTCTTGGGCAGGGGCCCGGTTCTGTTTGTGGTAACGTGTGGAACGCCCTCCGCAATCCACAAGTTTGCAAAGCTCGAAATGCACTTGTAAACCCTGTCCCCGTTCCGCAGCTACTTCTGTGGCGAGCCAGTCATGGCTGCGCAAATCATGTTCTTGTAAGAACAGCGGTTGAGCAACGTACGCAACTGGCTTGGACTGGTTGAGAGAGCGCCTTTGTGTCAGAGTCAGGAAGCAGAGCCTAGCCTTCAGGGGTCAACTGTTGACATTGAAGTTCTGGGCAGGCTTGCTGCAGCTTCAGGCAGACATGCAGGTGTTCATTTATCACTTAGTGTGTTTCAATATTCGCACGTGTATGTACAGCGACGTGCATGACAGCCTTTGAGTCCACGTCCATCACTGCACTTGTGCATGTGTGTTTGTGCACAGATATATGCTCGGCAGAGACTTAGACCTTTCGTGAGCCTTTCATGCACACATTCTACTACTGTTCGAGCAGGAGCTCGTGCGAGTGTATGAGTATGTACATGTATATGTATGTATACATATATAAAATATACGAATGTCTTGTACATGTATATACAAATGTATATGTTTATGTAAATGTATACAAAGATGTATATGTATATGTGTATATGTACCTTTATGCATCTTTGTGTATCTCTGTGTATCTTTATGTAGTATGTATGTATGTATGCATGCATGCATGCATGCATGCATGGATAGATTCAAGGATGGATGGACATAGCGAGCGGTTTGTGGAGCTTTCGGTTTCGTTATAGAGTTTCTGTGTAGCAGTTCGCGGGTTTGTACGCGTGCCGGAGCATATGTTTCTTTGCGCACGTATTGAAGCTGTATGCATGCAGCATCAGGTTTCGAGGCGCATTCGACAGATGCTTCTGTAGAAGGGTAGTAGTGTCGGGTTTCGCTCCGTGCCAGGACCTCAGCTTCCTCGACTCTTTCGTAAGAAGAAAGCTGGACGAAGGTACGAGTAGTTGTGTCGACGCCTCCGTACTGCCTGCGCAGGGTACCACGTTTGACCAGGTGCGAAGCCGTACCAGACGGCAATTGACCGTGCTCGGGTGCAGGAGGGCAGCGTTGCACCAAAGGCCAAGTGGGGTTCTTGTCGCATGTAGTGATGTGCAGTGGTAGTTGCAAGAAGTTCACAGGTCGAGGCCGAACTGAAGCCTTCGCTGAACTTCATGCCGTACGAGGCAGCTCGGTGATGCTCGGTGGCTTCGTGCAGGAGCTGCCTTCGTAAATGCTTGTGAATGCATGTGAATGCTGGAAAGGCCCCTACGAAGCCCCAACCTGCAGCTCCGATCCAAGACGAACGTGACACAGGCCAGCATGCGGTTTCTTCGAACTCATGCAGCCGTTGGGAGTCCGCTTGACCGTAGCAGGCCCTGCAGAAGCCCCTATTCCCAAGGGGCTTAATGCACCACGCTTAGGCAAGACTCTGTAGAGTGTTTATCGCATGTCATTTGTTTGCTCCGCGCTTGCAGATCCAAGGTGTCTGGACCAAGGAAGTGGGGCCCAAGTGGCTACAATCAGCCTGGCGGCAAGCCGGATCCTCCACAGGCTGACGGATCCGGTTGAATTTCTTGGTCCGACACAACCCACGTTTCTCAAGAGAGGCTTCGGTAGTTCGAAGGATCGGAAGCCCTGCCAGGCCATGAGCCACGAGAAGCCCTTACCACCAGAACCCATGCAGGCGCTTTCACGCGGGTCAATCCAACATGCTCGGAGTATGCCAGTATCCGGTTAGTATGTGGCAGGCACCGGTGCCAAAGACCACCACCCCGAAACCAGCTGAACCTGCAATTGACTGAGTCTGTCTGTTTTGCGATGGAGCATGACGGAGACACTGCCGACATGCTAGACTCGTGCACTGAAGGTTGTGAGCGAGAAGCAGAAGATGGCTGCTGCCCTCTTCAGTGGCCTCGGAGGTGCTGCGGCGCCTGCGCCTGCGCCAGCTGCGCCTGCAGCGCCAAAGCCACCTCCAGCCATGTACCCAGTTTGAGAACTGGACAAATTCCTGACATAAACTGTTCATCGCTCAGGCTCGTGCCCGCGAGCCGGCCGTCGAGAAGGTGCTTCTGCGGCTTGCGGTTCTTCATCGTACGGCCAATCTGCGACTTCGCCAACTTTCTCATTTTGTCAAGGCATCTGAGCCTTCGCAGCCTGTTTCAGCTGCCGTGGACCTGCTGGATCTAGATGATGCAGCTCCGGCGCCGGTTCCGTCACAGACCGCCGATGGGGACATGCTCCTCTTGGACATGGTCAGGTGCTCAGCCCAGGGCCAAGCAGCGTTCGCCTTCAGCCTTTAGCAACCAGCAGGCGAAGAGGCATTAACTCGAAACCAACCGGTTTCCGTTCGTTGAACCCACGATCCAGAATCTGTCTGCACGACTTCGGCAGGGGCAATTCACCTGAAAACGCACTGCCTCATTGGGTGCTCAGACACTCCGAACAAAGCTCGGAAACCTCGGAAGCTGAGCATCTGCTTGCATCAGAGGCTTCTATAGTTGGGCCAAAAGATACTCAGGATGATGCAAGTCCAAGCCCTGCGGCGATCTCAGTCATGCTCGCACAGATCTCCAGATAATACACACATGTATACATTTATACATATGTACCTATATATATATACACATACACATACATATAAACAAACATATAAATAAATAAATAAATAAATATATATATATATGTATATATGTATGTATGCATGTATACATGTATGTATGTATGTATGTATGTATGTATGTATGTATGTATGTATGTGTGTGTGTGTGTATATATGTCTGTGTCACTTACCATGGCTGCCCTGTGCTGCCTGTTGATGCTCCGAGGCACCGCCACAGATGCCTCAGCAGCAGCAGCAGCAGCAGCCGTCTATTCTGGGGCCGCTTCAGGCTGCTGATTTATCATGCATGCCTATTGCATGACCCACTGTAGTCCACTGTATGCCTAAATTCAGAAAGGAGGCATAGAAGGTCTGTGCCCATACAGCAGCTGTAGGTGTACAGTGTATGTAGTCAATCCGCCAGGAAACACAGAGGCAGACTCTTTTGTCAAATTCGGACACACCTAGAATCACGCAAGCAGTCGAAGGTTACCACCGCCCAAGTAGCTGCCACTTGGCCACAGCTGGCGTCTGAGCGCATTGTCCAGATGCACACGTCTGTGGGCAGAGCTGCCATGGTTGATCGGTATGCACGCATCATGCATTCACCAATCCAGACAAGCAGTCCTGTCACTGCTTGCCTCAGCTGGTTTCGCTTGGAGATGTGACCCCTGCTAGTCGGAAGAGCTTTGTTTTCTGTAGAAGTACGTCCTTGGTCTTTTTTCAACCTTGCTCGAGGGTTTGAAGGCGACACTCGCCGCATCAGCCTGAGTGCCCACACCGTGGGGCTCAGGACCCCAAAGCTCAGACAGCCTTGTCCAAAGGACGCTCAACTACTACCTCGAAATAGCATGCGAGCAGGAAATGTGGCAAGTCTTTGAGATCCAGTACTGATGATGCTGGAAGTGTTGATGCTGATCGTAGTCCGTGAGCGCATTGTCGCCGATCTTCATAACCGGTATTATTTTGCAGACCAGCCTCCTGAGGTGCAAGCTTCTTTCGGCACTCAGGATATGGTCCATGCTAGTCGCCAGAAGACTGGTAGGAGTGAGAGGGTGTTGCCTCGATCTGCACCTTCTGCTCTGCAGCTGGACCTGGCCACGATCCAAGACTAAACGGAGCTGTCCACGCTCTGCTTGTGGGGACTGGAGACAAGCAAACACCATCGAGCCGATGATGGGTCTCTGGGATTTCCAGGCTGTCAAGACCGAGTAGGCTATCAGGTCGGCCGGATCCACATTTCATCCGAGGCGTGCGCTCACAGTGAAGCAGGTCAAAACGGAACAAAGCCGGGTCAGGTTCAGGGATACTGATGAAGCATATTCGGATTCCCTATCCAAATCTCAACTGACACGACTTGGATGAGGAAAGTTTTTGGAGGCCTATTACTAGCCTGCGCCGGCGGAAGCTGAACCTTTCCCTGCCAAAGCCAACCCAGCCACTTCGTTCAAACGAAGCAGAGCCACAACCCTTACAGCTGTAGGTCGGGCGTAATTGACTAAGAAGACTCAACGTAGTTTCATTCTTGGGTTGTTGCCTTTACACTTGCATCTCATGCGCCAAGCTCGCTTGTGTTCCTCCTATATCTGGCGGCTGACATTGCGCTGATGGGACAAGAATTCTCCCGCATGACCTCCTGCCCGTCAGTCGCCGACTCTCAACGGCACTGCGCCAGGAAGCTGCCAGGAGATGATGCTTAGACTGCAGGGCGCAGTGAACGTCAGCCCCGTGGAGATTGTGGGTCCCGTCCTCAAAGCATGTCAGGTGGATCTTCTGCTTCCACGAATTGTTTGCGCCCTTACACTTTTCGACCCTTCGGCCACAACACTTTCAAGACTGAGTACCTTAAGCACAGCGACTCCAGAACTTCCAGAACAGGTGCACGGGTTTATTCCAACTAAGGCTTAAGGCACTCGAACTTTGTGGAGCCGGCTAGTTCGAGGGTAACACAATCATCGATTTCTGCGGACCGCCGCAACTGTTTCAGCATGGTCCGGGGAAGTCTTGCGCTTCGAGAGAACGTCGCTAACAAAGTGTGCTGGGAGCGTAATAGTACGTAAGCAGAGGAAACATATTTACAAGCCACAGTTTTGATTCAAATTTCTCTCAGCGACGCCTTGCATCGCCGAGTCAAAACCGAAGGTTCAAACACTCAAATGGACGTATTGGATGAGACCTGAGTTTCCGAAAACATGAGACCAAACAAAGAAATTTGCATCCCGGTAAACTCTTTCCCCCGGGCCGCGTGTACTCATGTAACGCATGCGGTTGGTCGGAGTGTTGAATACTGCGTTTCGGTCTTGAGTGGTTCAGGACTCAGGACAGCTTGGAGCATATAGGGATTACAGTTATGACACCGGAACAATTGGAGTTTGGAGGTTTTAGGATTCCGAGTTTTTGAGTTTTAACAACGCTGACAAGACCGAGTTGGGTGTTGAGAGTGTTTGTTGATCCCTCTCCCTCTCTGCCTGGCGCTTGGGTCTCAGGCATGGAGGGCATCGCAGCCGGTCGAGTTCTGCCTGGAAACGACCCGTGCTTCTTGCATGGTGCGCCCAAGCACAGCCTGGAATCTGGGTCTGAAGTTCGTGTCTGCCCTGCCGTGCAGGGAAGCTTGCTCCTCCTCGGCTCGACATCAAGGTTAGATGCCGCGATCCAGGCAACTTGTCCAACGCCAGTAACAAAAACCTATTCCCTGTCACAGCCGAGCCGAAATCCGCTTGATCAGATCTGGGTCTGAGAGCAGACGCAGGCGAAGGCAGTGCTTTAGGACAGGCCACGAGCCACAATAGGCACACGACGCTGCCAAAGAGAAGGATTTTTTTTTTGGCGAAGGTGCAGGTGGAAACTGATTCGTTTTGTCACTGCTGATTGCGGCTCGTGCAGGTGTGGCGCAGAGCGTTGCGGACCTTTGCCAAAGGTCGCTGGCTTGACCGCGGCCTTTTAAACAGGCATAGATTCGATCCGTCCAGCGGAAAAGATAGCCGGCACAGCAGGTGTATGCCGAGGATTCTGCGTGACCTGATCATAGGTCATAGGTTGCGACAGAGCAGTGCATTCAAACTCAATTGTTTGTCAACCCTCATACGCATGCTAGATGGGTTGATGTAAGCTGCGAGTGTAACTTTCAGCCTTCAGGTTGCATGGATCTTGCAAATCACATGCTACAACTATTCGACGGTGTCAGCTGTGTGCTGCGATCTGTTCAGCTGCCAATTGCGGTTTACCTGTGACCTTTGGACCCTTGCAAAGTCTGTCGTGGCAGGCTGACTTAACCCAGTAGGGCTGTAATCTGGCAACCTGGCATGTCGTTGCAGCGTAAGTGCTGGATGACTCGAAATGAACACTCCTTGGAGGCGTTGGAGCCACCTTTCCCACTGCCTAGCCGCCTAGACTTAATCACGAGCTGGCTTTGGAGTGTGTGCCATGGTTGGAACCGCGGACAATGGTGTGTTGGAGGGCTGGATGCGTTCTGACGACTGCATGCAGAGAGTCTAGTGGTTAGGATGGTTCGCACTGGAGCAAATGGTCCACCAAGAGTGAGGTCTCGACGAGCTGACGGTGTACTGTTCGTCTTGGCGCTTGTTGCATCGAGTACTCTACAGGGCTGCCTACCTCCTGACTGGTCATTCTGCGACTGCGACTTCCGTGATAACTTCTGGGACAGTATTCTGAATGATGTACACCTGCTCTGGGATGGTCCAGACTTTGTGCGAAAAGCCAGAGATAACAGAACCTTCCAGGGAAGATATTTGCAATCGCCGCCAAGCGACCTGAACTGTCCCGTAAACCCAAGCGTTTTCTGGAAGGCCTGGCCGCAATACGGAATTACACGTGGGCTGATTGAGGGCTCAATGGGAGATCTCTGGATGCCCGGAGCCAGAGACCGGTTCAAACAAGTTTGTATAGCAGGGCACCTGGCCTTGATGGCAATCTGCTCACAGCACTTCTTGGTGAGATCTGCACGAGCACAGGAGGCAGGCGATCCTGACCACATGAAGTGGCTTGAGGCATCTTTCGGTCACATGGTCGCAATTCGTAACCTCGGCCAGGCATACCAAATTCGTCAATGCATGGGCCAGCAAGGTTGGTCGCTGGACGTCGGCGCTTTCCATAAGTACACTGAAAGATGGATAGGCCGAGAAGCTGTTGGGACTGTTCCTCAAGCTGCATATTTCAACGGTCAGGTCGACCCTTGGCAAATGCTTTTCACCAAGCCGATGCACCACAACGAGGAGAGCCGAGCTGCGGCCTTGCCGGATCGACGTGTCTGTGTTCCCTTTAAGGACCCGGCATGTTGGAAGCGGAAATCCCAGTTGCTAATAGAGACGTGCGAGTATTGCTGCAACCCCTTCCAACACAAGACAGGGCGTGGTGCGAGCTGGTGCTGGGATGACGAATGGACATATGAGAGATGTTGCCAGCAGGACTACAAGGACCTTGTGTGCGAAGTCCAGCGAAAGGGCGAGGAAGGTGGATGCGTCGACTGCAAAAAGTCCGTGACATACAACTGCATGACGCCGCCCGAAAAGCGGTTGAAGGATGCTCAGGACAACTACAACAAGAAGGTTGATCTCTTTAATAGCTTGCAGGACAAAGCCCGGACACTTGCACAGGACATAGCGGCAGCAAGGGCGGACCTGATCAGCAAAGATGCAACATACCAGGAGCTTCACACTGACCTAAATACGAAGCTCCGGATTTGGCATGTCGCATTTAATAACGCTTCAAGGCTGTTGTCGGCCGCTCGGCTGCGCCAGCAGGAGCTAACTTGGAACAACTCGAACGAGGCCTTACAACAGTCACAAGCAACGCTGCGATCGGCACGAGGAGCGACATCTACTGCGCAGGCCACAGTTGCCGAGGCCAGAAGGCAAGAGCAACTGGGCAAACAGCTGCTTGCAAACAACGAGTCGGCCTATGCGAAAGCAAAGAGCCACCATGCAGCAACCAAAGAAGCTCTAACGAACAGCCAGGACAAGCGGAAAACAGCGGAGACGGTGGTTGCAGAAGCCGAAGCGACGCTGGAGGCCGCAAAGACAACTGCCAAGGTGGCCTTTGAGACCTCGCTTTCTGCGAATGAGTCTTCAGATGCTACCCACAGAAACACAAGAAAGCCATTAGAGGAGGCGTCTTCTTTGAGAGACGCATTGCGAGCAACGGCCTGGGCAAGTCAATCCCAGCACGGCCACTTTGCAGCTCTTCGGACTGCGACTGCGTCTGCGACTGCGTCTTCGCGGGGCGCAGCATGTCAGGACCGATCCGTAGACACTGCGACAACAGCAGCTCGGGTTCGTTCTGCACAGCGATCGGTCAACGAGGCAGCAGCCGTCCGCAACCGCAGTGCAGAAGATCTTCATGTGGCTTCAAAGACTGAAGAACTCTTTCACCAAGTGCTCACCAATTGTACAGTGGGACCTGATGGATCATCTGGTGCACGATGTCTCATTGATGTCACACCGGCCAACAAGTCCGCGAAGCCTCTTTTGTCGAAGTCGTCCTGGCGCAAAGAACTTTGCAACACCTGGCAGGCACCGCATGGATGCCCAGATGGCCAGAGCTGCGATTGCTCCATCGCGTGTGATAGCGAGCCAAGTGCGCAAGCCAGTGAGATGCGAATAAACGCCCTTGTGCAGCAGATGCTCGAGACTCAGCGTCTGGCAGAACAGGCCCTTGCTCGGCAAAGAAGCAAAAAGGACGATTTTGATGAAATCGAGGTGTACATTCCTGCTGAGCTGATCAATGCCGTGGAAGCGGCAACCCAGAAAGTGGCATCAGTGAAAGAGAGGCAAGCGGCAGCTGCCAAGGATTCCAGGGAGGCACAAAACATGCTGGAGAAGGCAAAGTCTGCTCGTGAAGCAGCGGACAAGAAACAGAGATCTGCACAAGACAAGCTTGTTCAAGCACAGGGCCAGGAGAAAGACTTGCTTTCGCAGCTGACTGCAGCACGAGTGGACTTGGACCGAAACATGACGTCGCTACAAGAGTTGAGGCAGCATCTGGCAGAGGCCAACCAGACAGCTCAGAAGGCGTCAGCGATGCTAGCTGATGCCATCAGACGCGAAGACTGGAGCAAGACACTCTACCACAATTTGACGAAAGAAGCAAGCAGGAAAAGGCAGGAGAATAACACGGAAGTCCTGCGAAGAGACGAAGCTGACAAGAAAGTCCAAGTGTTGAACGAGTCCCTCACGGAAAATCTCACAGTGCTTGTCTCGGCCTGGCTGCGTCAGCAAGAGACCGCCGGTGAGGCGGGGGGAGGCGTGTTTGTTTCGCTGAGCCTTGGCCGCCTTGGCCGCCTTGGCCTTGGCCTTGGCCCAGGCCTCCCACTCTGCGCGTTGGAGCGAGCGGCTCCTGGCAGCGGCCAAGGCCGTCCTGGTGAACATGGCGCCGGGCCCGGACGCCGGCACCAGCAGAGCACCACTCTGTACTGAACTGTACTGTACTGAACTGCCCAAGGTGGGGTCCTTCGAGAGTTTTCTGGAAAACTATGTCATCAGCATCTCGGACAAGGAGTCCTGCTCCCTGCTGCTGGTAAGAGTCCAACAGCAGGTGATCAATCGAAACTGTCGAAACTTGAGCAACAAAGCTGTGAGGCCGATGGCAATGATAGAGCGAGGGTTTGTGCGGAGTAGACAGGCAGAAGAGTGTTGCAGAACTGGAGACTTTGTCCCCAACGGCCAAAGAAGGCTTACACATGCGCTGACAACCCAAATAGATCCCGTCGAGAAGCCAGTTCTGGGGCCGAGTGACCTTTCCGAAGCTAGCTGCCCCCACGAGTCCTTGAACCTTGCACCAGTGCAGGACGCAGCCATGCAGGTAATGCGAGCTGTGGAGGACTTGAAGGCGAGAGAATTCGAACCCAGTTGGGCGGAGAGAGACAGAGAGCAGTGGGTCCCCAACGACACGCATCAGGGAGAGGGGCACCTTGGCGCGGGTCAGCTAGCCTGACCTGGTCCAGGTGGGAGAGGAAGGAAGGAGGGGGGGGGGCGGGGACTGCCCGTACCTCAGCCCCCAAAGCAAAGCAAATCAAGAGAGAGCTTGCGGATGCTTGCAGTGAGTAGCTTGACAGTTCTCAAGACGGGAGCTAGGGATGAGGGGGAGCGAGAGAGGGAGAGAGCTGTCCAGCCATCACAATACAGTGGACCAGGGCGGAAGGAAAGCAACAGAGATAATGACAAGTGGACCAGCTGCCGATGTTGCAGTTTGTGAGATGCGTCTATCCGAGGAGTATCTTAGTCTTAGTCATCTCGTGCCAACTGTCTTGTCTTATGACTACTGCATGTTACATGCATATGATACCGGAGGCGTTCTACAGGGGAAATCACGAGACCACTTCTGTCCAGCCATGATTGCCCTGCGAAAGATCTTCTTGCCCCCATGCCTCGCCCCTTAAAAACGCGCCTAACAAGACAGACCCGGTTTTCAGCACCGCGAGAGGCCGTGGAGCTGAGTGCTCTGGAGGCCGAGAAGAACGCGGAGGACGCCGCAGAACAGGCGGAGCTTCAGCTCAGCTCTTCTAAGAGATGCCTGTCCGGCTTTTGGGAGTCTTCGTCTTTAGAGTGTGTGCTCTTCGAGGTGCGGCAGGCGGAGGGCAAGGTTGCGGAAGCCGAGGCGCACAAGAATGATTCCCGACATTTCCCGACTCACCCAAGCTTCGCTCTGTCTGGACTCAGGCTGCCAGGATGCATTCCGATTCGAAAGCCCGCAACGCAACCAGCGCTTTTGAGGAGGCGAAGGACCGGCAAGAATCAAACGAAGCCTCCGCGCAAACGCGCGCATGTTGGTGAGTCTACCGAGATGCTTGCATGGACGATCGTTGAAGGGTAGACCCGGTTTGAGCTTGAAGGAGCTTTGCAACTATGTCGATGTAAGTCTGAGGCAGTTACTGCTAACAGCCGCGCAGACGAGAATGTCACGTAGGATGGTTCATGATGACACAGCAGCTGGCAAGCGTTGAAAGGTCGTGAATTGTGAGCACCGGCAGAAGTACAAAGATCTAAGACTCGGTTTGCAGTCCGTGACCTTCGGACAGCGGGCGAGTGCAGAGGGGCTGTTGCCAGGGCGACGCACAGCAGTTCTTAGATGCCAAGGCCCAGCTTAAACATGTTGCAGAAGCGAACACGAGGTAGCGGCATGTTCAATCTCCCCTAGCTCACTCTGCATGTCTGCATCACGGCACGTCAAGCACTCTCATTGTTGGAAAGCATGAGAAATCAAGAGACGCATTCGCTGTGATTGCCGGTGACTGGAAGACACTCTCCGGGGAACGGGACGCTGGACCGCTCCACATCCCGGACCTTCCACCTGGCGATATCTTCAGGCGTATATCGGATGAAACGGGAGATAAGCTGCCGCTGCCGCTGCCAGAAAGAAAGCCACAGAGACTGTCGGCACAATACTGTATGCCGGGAAACGACTCCGTCTGACTGCTCTGATCCTCGTGGGGCAATCCGTACAATGCGGTGAGTGGAACTTCTTCCATGCTGGGGTTCGGACTGCACTTCTGGGATTGCTTGCAGGATGTCATGCTTTCTGCAGAGCGCTTGCTGAACCAGACCAGGCACGTCCTTGGGTTTGCACCTGGGTCCACGTCGTAGCTGAAAGCACCTGACAGTCTCGGCGCGGCACACTGAAGTGGTGCCTTGCCGAGGGTCACGAGTCCTAGGGGTCCTGCGCAGATGCCCGCAGTAGTCAATGAAGGAAGGACCTGACAAGGCCAACGCAAAAAAAAGACAGCATGCTGGTTCGTCTGGAAGCAACGCCCGGCCAGTTACAAAGAGAGGAAGCACCATGCTAGAGATGTTTCGAAAGCCAGTACGTGCCTTTGTATGAAGTCTTTCGAGTTGTTTTCGGTGTGGAAGGGTGGTAGAGACACATGGGATGCCAGCCGAGCTCGTCGACAGGGTCGTCGTCGACACTGTGGGGCAACAGCTGCAAGATGCGAAGGTGTTGGTTGGCAAGATCAAGGCCTGGCCGCCTCGCCTGCTAACTTCCATCTTCCGCCACGCATTGCACACTTGCACAGGCGGAGGTTGATGCCGCAGTGTCAGATCATCAAAAGGCTGTTCGTGCAGTCGAACTGCAAGCAGACAGCGTGAGGACGGGTTTGGGGGGCTGAACTCGCTTGAAGACTTCAGCAGGGAACTTTCTATGAGTTTTCTATGCTTTGCATCTGTTTTTCAATGTGCGGTGTCTATGGGTGGGTGAGGGAAAGAGAGAGCGAGAGAGAGAGAGAGAGAGAGAGAGAGCCATTTTGGCTCAAGCCGCGAGTGGTCCAAGGTCGTCGGGTGCCTCTCCGCCCCAAACTCTCTTCTTTCCTTGCTCCCTTGCTCTCGGCACCCGGCGATCTCCAACCCGGGCGCCTATCCATCTGCTCCGCCGCCTCTCTCTTTTAGAGCGATTGCTGCGGGGGGACATCGGCTTGACTGCGTGCTACTTGCCCATCGCTCCGGAAGACGAGCTGGTTGTGCAACGCACCACATCGTGATCCGCTGCGATCTCTTCCTTAGGGAGTACCTGTACCACGGCGACATAGTGATCCGCGACTACGGGGGCAATCCCGAGACGCAACATGGCAGAGCCTTCTACTCCGATGGAGGTGCAGGCGAAGGAATCTCCGCATCGCAAAAGGGGACCTCAAGATGAACCCCTAAGCCTTGATGCTATTCGTGAAGTCGTCCGGGGGGAGATCCAGGGAGCGGTCGCGGGCATGACTGATAGGGTCGCTGCCCTTGAGCGGAATCTCCAGCAGCACAATGACAGGACTTTCCAAGCCGTGGAGACTCTGTCTGCTGGGCAGGCGGACCAAGGCTTGCGCATTGCCGAACTCACTGCGGAGTCGCAGCTTGTTGCGGGCCGCTTGACGCAATTGGAAGGTAAAGTCAAGCAAATCCAATCTGCGGGGAGTACCCCGTCGACCACTGATGGAGGCAGAGTACCAGCATTGATCATGGGGGGCTGGGCCCCCGACACTCCAGCCAGTGAAGTTCTTCAAAAGGCCAATGAGATGGCAAGGGACTTGCAGCTTCAACTGAACATGACAGATGCATTCGTCCCAGGAGTTCGCAGGGGATTCGTCCTCATCCCCTTGTCACCTCAAGATGGTGAATCTGAAGAAGCTATGCGACAACGAACCCAAGCATGCATTCGGAGAGTGAACAGTGCCAACGTTTCATTAGGCCGCAAAGCTGATGGCAATCCAGCAAAGCTCTGGCTCACTGTGTCCCAACCTCCTGAACGACGCCGCCGTGCCGCCCTTGCAGGAAAGGTCAAGCGCCTGATCATCGAAGCAGGGGGCACAAGCACCCTCGCCCGCATCGAGCCAGAGTGGGCAACTGGAACAGTTTGGTTCAGGAACAGTAAAATCAGCTCAGCTACCAGTGCGGGACCTCGGGGGTCGACCCCAGCAGGATGCGGATGGATCGATGTGCCGAGGATCGCCGAACTCTTGGGTGTAGACACAGAGAGGCTGGAACGAGTGTGGGAGCCGCTGTTGGCGGCATTGCGATGACTGGATGCCAAAATCCAAGAAGCGGGGATTTCCCCCGAAGAGTATCACCACTCCGCGGAGCCGGCGACGATAGCTGATGTCGATGCTGGCCCTGCGTCTCTTTCTGCACAGCTTCAACATGACGCAGTGCAGTTGTATATTGCAACTTGGAATTTAGGGGGGATGAGCCCCGAGAAAACCCTTGACTTGCTGTCTGGCTTCCAGGGGACGCCGGACCTCTCCCGACTGCAAGTCGTCTTTCTCCAAGAGATGACGACCTCAGGCGGACCGCATTTTGCGTACAATGAGACCTGGATGCTGCTGCACGGCAAACGTGATGTTGAGTGGAGAGGCTGTGGGGTTGCATTCCTGAAAGTTCTAGGGCACCACGAGTCCACGTGTATCCGTCAAGCTGCCTTGTGCACTGTCCTTAAGACTCATGACGGCAAAGCGCTTGGTTTGCTCGCGGGGCACATTTCCCACCGCTTCAGTATCGCGCAGACGGCGGAAGCTCTCTCCGACTGGGGACTTTCCCCAACTATGTCATGCACGCGCGTCTTGTTGGGATTTGATGCCAATGAGACCTTACTCCAGCCTGGGGGCGCGCTAGGACTCACCACTTTGTCATGCACAGGGCGAGGGGAACAACTCCTCCAATGGGCCCTCGAGAATGGAGTATCGTTCTCGCAGCAAAGCATGGAATGTCCGTCCTACTTTCCGTACAATACAGAGATGCAGCCCCGTAGGATTGATTACCTTGCAGCTAAAGGGGTACACGTGTCTCAGATTGTTGTGGGATCCTTTCGTGACAGAGCCCGATCTGATCACGAACCTATTTTGGGTACCGCCCGACTCCCTTTGCAGCCCGCTCCCAAACAAGGTGTTGTATGGTGTGCCAGAGCACTCAGACACGACTGCCAGCAAATTCTGTGCGACAGCCCCCCCGGGCCCGGTGACTTGCATCATTTGATTGCTGAAGTTGCTACAAGCATCACGGTTCCCGCAAACCGCTCGTCCAAATTCCATGAGAGTCCCGCACTCAAAGCTTTGCGCAAGGAAGCCCGGGGGTTTCCCCCAGGATCAGAATCCAGGACGGCATGGAAAGCGGTGTGCAAAAAGCTCCAACAAGAGCGCAGAGCCTGGAAGCAGGCGCTCATTCTGCGAGCGGGGTCTTCTGACTGGAATGCATTGCGGTCGCTTAAGGACAAGCAGGCTAATACAAGCTGGGCAGCCAAACTCCTCGATGACCCGGCCTGGTCTGGGAAGTTAAGTGCCCATATGTCGTCCATTTTCTGCAAAGCCCCGCTATCGCAGACAAGGGGGGCCATGCAACCCCTGCTAGATGAAGTCACAAGACAGTGCAAGGTGACTCCCTGGAAACCCTTTTCCGAGTCAGAGATGCGTATCACGATGGCCAAATGGCAAAACCCCAAGGCCACAGGGCCAGACGGTATTGCCTTTGAAGCCTTGAAACTTATGTTTGATGATGATGTGTGGCGGCCCTGGATTGCAGAGCTCTTGAATGATAGCCTCTACAGGGGAGCACTTCCCCCCAATGCAACGACTGGAGCTTCGGTTCTTTTACCCAAATGTTTGCTGCCTGCAGATTGGTCTGATACCAGACCCATCACACTATCAAGTGCAATACTCAAGTGGATCTCGCAGCTTCTTTTGCATAGGGGAGTTCCCCTGCTGCAGCCGTGCTGTCAGCACCAATGGGCGAGCAAAGGCAAACAAGGAGTAGAACTCCTGCTTTCCCTTCGCAAGCTTGCGCGTGTAGCGCATGAGTGGAAGACGCCATTCTATATAGTTAAGATTGATATAGCAAAGGCGTTCGACTCGATTGCACAAGAGGCACTTGGAGAGCTGGTTGTTAGGAGAATCGCCAGGGAAGGGGGCCTCCCCTGGGAAGCCAGACTGTGGCTTAGCTTGCTTGAAGCCAGAGAGCTGACCTTCCACGTTGATAAACGTCAAGTTCGCATCGAACAGTCCAACGGGGTGAGGCAAGGTAGCCCCGACAGCCCCGTGCTTTTCGCCGCCAAAATAGGAGAAGCCCTTGACGCCACCCTGGCTGCCGTCAATGGGGGAGCACCCCCACATGTTGGCCGACACAAAGCACTAGAGCCCCCGCCGCACTCTGGAGCAGCGTTTATGGATGACACGTATGTCTGGGGAGAATCCCCAGAATATGTCCAACAAGTCCTCGCTGAGCTGGAGGTCAGGCTCCGTGCTATCGGATTACTGATCAATGCGAAGAAAACTCAGGTCATCTCCAACATCGACGATGACCCCTTCAGGTTTACGATTGGTGGCAAAACCGTCAAGCCTGACGGACCCAAGACCGTCATGACCATCCTAGGCGCCCCAGTCACTCTGGCAGGGGATGTTGCCCCCATTGTAGCCGAGATGCAGGGAAGAGCAAGACGAGCCTTCCACAAACACAAAAAGGTGCTTTGCTCAAGGGCCCCCCTCAAGGACCGTCTTAATCTGCACCAAACGCTGGTACGAGGGGCGGCGCTCTGGGGATGTCCTGCATGGCCTGTAAATGCTTCGCTGCTGCAGGCAGCAAACGGCACCCAGCTTTTGCAACTCCGCTGTATGATAACGGGGAAACGCTCCCCGAGTGAAGCTTGGCAAGATTGGAACAAGCGCACCATGCGCAGGGCGAGAGCCCTCCTCCATCAGCATAAGTTCTTAAGATGGTCGACCCATGCACTCCATCTACAATGGAATTTATGGGGTCACATAGGCCGTGCATCCTTCGCCCCAACGTTCCACATCATGAGATGGCGTGACCTGTGCTGGTGGCGAGATCAACAAGCCCTCCCACCGGGGCCTTTCCCCAGAGGTGTGCGTCACATCGGACACCACAACCCAGACCGCGATCCAGAACGCCAAATTGGATCAGTGGCCGGACCGCAGTGGTGGATCGCAGCCTCAGATCGCTCCCAGTGGAGCCACCTCCAGAACGACTTCATTGCAAAGTATGATCCGCCCTGGGCGAGTGGGAACCAACTCGCACTACCGGGGGCGCCCAACCTGGCCCCCAACATGCGTACAGCGCAAACACGTCCCCGAGCCCGACCCGATATGCGTGAACCCTCCACAGGTGTGCTTATCGTGTGGCGAGGAACCCTTTGATGAATGACTTGCCCCAAGGAAGTATCATAGGGACCCCCCCGCATGCATTTCCCGTCTATTGACTCCTGCCCGTGCCCTGAACCCGTTGTACGCTCCTTAAGCCCCGTGTTGGCCTCGCATTGCCCATTTTGCCCATGCCGACTTCAATTTCTCGTCTGCTTCAGCAATTTTTGCGCCCGGGGACAGCCCGCCAATGAAGGAGCCTGCTGTTCCATGGTTCGATGGGCCTACATGCCACTTGCCTTGCGGCAGCCGACCAATTGCGCCAGCACCGTGACTGCTGCAGCATCAAGCTTGGCCTTTTCGTGAGAGTGAGTTGCGGCCTACATGAATGCACTCGCCAACTCTCCATGACGACCATGCTATGCACAGCCTTGCTGCGCCACCATTTCCCAGAGAATGCTTTCCTATCTCTGGCGCTACTTCATGATCCACATTTTCTCCCTCACAGAGATCTTCAGAATGAGTGGCTGCCCAACCTTGTCATTGAGCTGAGGCAGAGCCCCGGAGGGGGAACCTGGATAGAGAGTGACTCGGGAACTTGCGCCATAGAACTTCCTGAGGGAGACCTGAGATGGGGAGTGAAGATGACTGGCATCTACAAGTTCAGCGCGCGCTCTCTCCTCCATTGCAGCATGTCGGGGACTACCCCGAGAACAGTGCTCATTGCATGGACGCCAGCGGGGTGGAAATCAACCCCGGCACCACTGCTGCAAGAACTACGGGAACTCGGTTTCGTGGTGCCCACGGAGGATCAGTGTGCCCGTGCTCGACTGAGTACTTGGTCCGCCATAGCAACAGTACAGCGCCCGCTTGGTTTTAAAGCAATCCCAAGCCCGCAAACCTCCAAAGAGCAATTGAAGGCCAGTATGTGGCCAGCTGGAACCCTGAAAGGTCCTTTGCATGATAAGCACACGCCTCTGCTCCTCAAAGCAGACTCGGAAGACGATGATGCTGATTCTGTTACAGTGCAGCAGCAATCGGTGCACAGGGGATACTGGCCCCTTGTATAGGAGTGTGCCATGGTTGTTCTTGCCTTGGAATGCAATTAAGAGAAGCCCGTGTGCAAAACGCGGGGCATAACGCACCCAGATGAGCACCCAGGAACAAATCATCCGCCTCTGTCCCTCTTTATTTTGGCCCTTTTGGTTTAGGTCCCCTACCCTATAGCAGTGTGCCTCCTCGCAGGTTTTGACAGTTCGCCGGTGGAGTGCGCTAAGCCTTTGTTTCTCATGCCGACCATGCTGCTTCAACTTACATGTGGCTTGAGCGTGAAGTGCAGCGCAAGTGAGTAAGTGATGTGCGTCATGAGCCCATGATGTTCCAGGTCACAGATCGCCCACCCAGCAAGCTCAGCAGGTCTGGCAAGTACAGCTGACTGACCGCATCTGCCGTGCTCACAGCGCCTGTGCCCAGCACAGACAGCCAACTTTGGTTTAGGGGCTCTGCCTCTTAGGTCCCTCTCCTCGGCCCGCACTTGTCCAGATGACCCCCAGAGTCTTGCTTCATACATCTGCCGAACATTGTGCCCTAGGTGGGAACCTAAACTTGGGATGTGCGATTTCCTCTCATGCAGATAGTCACGCGACTTAGAGGACTAGTGACGACCACCAGCAATGGCAGGTTCGCAGTGCGTGGACCGCCTCGACCGAAAAGGGGGAAGACGCCCGGGCCGTGCAGTGGTGCTCACCATCGCAATCATGGGCACCTACCTCATCTACTCGGGACACTCGATGTCTCCCGCGACTACATCGACCAGTAGCTCCGACGAGGATTCCGACATGCCGCTAGCGCCACCAGAAACCGAGGAGGAGATCCATGGAGAAGGTCCCGAACCCCGCATCGAAGACCCGGACGAAGTGGCTGACCTCCCCGCACACCACGTGGAAGGGGGGCCTCCTCTGCAGGAACCACCAGAGCCGAGCGACAGGCCAGCACGTCACCGACCTGGCCTTGTCGGCACCGCTTCGATGGCAGCAGCAATGCCATCCATTCAAAGTTCCTTGACCTCTCCGCCTACGGCGACGACACCGACCCATGCTCAAGGCCCTGGACCGTCACGATTACAAGATCCTGCCCAAGACCTATTACCAGGTTGCACCCACTACATGGAGTGGTCAGCATGGGACGAGGATGACGTGCCACTACCCCAGCACCAGCCACCAGAACCTGCGGCCACCAGAGGTTCGAGCTCGAGCATGCCGTACACTACTGGAACCTCGAGGACCTCGCATGCTACTACCAGATTGGGGTTTGCAACCACGTATGACCCGGACACGGACCCCTGGCACGATGAAGGAGTCCTTGATCATACCGAAATCAACAGCAACACTGTGGGGATGACATCGTCGAGACCTCAATATCAACACCAACAACCTCCTCTACAACAAGGGCATCCATTACCTCATCAACCACAACAGCCACCTCTACCTCCCTCACAACAACAACAACGGCAGCAATCGCAACTACCAGCTGGACATCGGGATGCTTACCCTCCAGTGAAGCAACCGCCTCCAAGACCGCCGCAAGAAGGACCGGGACGACTTCATGCACAACCTCGTCAACCTGGACATCCAGATACTACGCATCATCCACAACCATCGAACGGGCAACTACCCGGGGGATCACAAAATCCTCCCTTTGATGAATGGGGATCACTGGCGAGAACCCTGGCAAATGATGGACCGCTATTGCCGCCTTCGCAATGGTCCCACAACGTTATGGGGCAACAACCAGCCCCCGCTGAAGAAGCCCTACAGGCCACCCAAGAAGCTATGGAGGGGACGAACCCCTCGCCCAACGAGATCCACGACGCCATGGTCAGCCAACAACTGCAGGAAGTACCTCAACAAGCACCTCAGCAAATACCACATGAACATCCACCAAATCTACCCGAAAGTGACCCGCGCCGAGCTCAACAACCACGACCTCATCAACCTCAACACGAGCACAGTGAAGAGCCTCCAGCAGGGATGGACCAACCGTCGGACGAGCTGGAAAATTCCGCGTGCGTGGATACAGGGGGCTCCGAGCCTGGCCAAGCCAGGGCGACTTGTGGGGGCCCAGCATCGGGGAACCAAGACCCCAGTGAGGAGCCAGCTCCAACAGAGACAGCGCAAGCCCAGGAAGATGAGGACGACGAGTGGATCGAAATCGTTGATGACGCGGAGGAGATTCCTCCTCCTGCAGAAGAAGATGAAGATGGGTGGATAAGTGATGTCAGTGACACTGAAGAAGAGGAAGAAGAAGAAGACACGCCCCCCGCTACAAGCCGACCTCAATCACCACAACCACACGGGGCAGGGGGAAACCCCAAAGCAACGAAACGGCAGGCTGGGCATGGGAGCCAGAGGGTGAAGAACAAGGCGCGAAAGTCCGATGTCAAAAAGCTCTGGCAGGAGGCAGGGTGGGATCCTAAACCTGCATGGTTGACATGGAAAGCCGCTCTCCAATGGCTGCAAAAAGGGGAGCAACCCCCTCGCAAACAGCCCACCTCCACCCCTGCCGAGCGTGCCAAATTTGCTGCCCTCCTCGCCGCGCACCAATATTCCAGGGATGACAAGGGGAACATCATCCCCTCAACGAGCTCTACGGCATCCAGCTCCTCTACCATGCCCTCGTCAAGTATGACCCAGATGCAGACACCTCCAGTACTACAGCAACAACAACAACTACACCAGAGTACAGGGGATGCCCCTACTGGAGACAAAGCTGCCGCTCAAGCCCGCCATGACCACCAACAACGAATGGCTGCCAACCCATATCTTTCTCGACCACACCCCACCTCAAACTCTTCAACAACGACAACCAGACAGAGGAGGACATCCACATCAACAACATCCTCCTTCTCCTCCAGAACAACTCGCTCCGCAGACCACAGGGGAAAGAAGAGTCTCCTTCTCACTGCCTGACGGGCATCGCGAAGACCCACCGAAGCCCTCGCGTACCGAGCACGTCCTGAGGAAATTATCCAACAGCTCCGCGACCCAATTACAACTGGATGGCACCTCGAACAATCCTCTGCAAGTGGTCGACAACAGACCAGAATATATCCGCAACCCAGGGGAGACCCTGCTACCCAGTTGGGAACAACGAGCTCGCAGACGGACCGTGCCGGAGACGTTCTTTTTACCCAGCCACCGCACCTGACAGCTACAGCTTCGACCCCCTCTTCGGCCAGCGGACAACCAGCGCAACCCGACATCTCCGACCTCGAGGCCCAGGCTAACAGCGCAGTCCATCAGGGGAGAGCCCCTAGATGGGAAATTGAAGACGACACCACCAGCATGCGCTCGTCCATCCGGATAGGCGAGGTCAGCTTTGACATCTCCTGGTTCCAAGGTGCTGGTCCTCCTACACTGCCGCCAACCATACCCATTGCGCCAAATGTGGTCTTCAGCGCGCGGGGCACGGTAGCGGGCTCCTGGCGAGGGGTCTTGTGGACCCCTCAGCAGCACGAAACCATCCGTCATCCTCCGCGAGTTCGGCATGAACCCTCCATGGTGGCTTACAAGACGCAGAGCACGGCATGGAGGATGGGGCCTACATTATCGCCGGGGGTGACCCTGACCATGTACCCAGTGGGAGAATGGATTGCGGTCACTCGTTTTGAATTGAGTTTCGCGCGAACACCGCGCTTTTGGCTCGTTGTGGTCGATGCAGTGCCGGACTCAACGCAGGCGGGTGAACTGCCTTTGCAGGGTGGCGAGCAATTTTTCCTCGAGTGGCAGGGCATCAAACGCGAGTGGGTGAGACGGCCCAGGTTTCCAGGGGATGTACAACGGCTGGGTGGCTATTCAATCATACCCCCTTTACTCCAACCAGAGCCACCAATACCTCCGGAGCGTACAGGCTTCCCAGCCACACAGACGAGGGGGAGTCCCCCGGCATCATCGTCGTCTTCGTCGTCCTCAGCAACCCAAAGGGGACGTCCCCCTACGTCCAGTGCGAGCCCGCAGACAATAGGCCCGAACGACGTCGCAATGCACGGCTCTGAGGCACACCCAAAATCCAGACCGCCGCTGCCGCCACAGACCAATTCCGGCTCGGAATCGGAAACTAGTTGGCCGAGTGAAGACCCGGAGCCGGAAAGAACAGGAGAAGTGGATACGAGCACTATGACGTCAACTGCGACTATGACATCAAGCACCACAAGGACCGAGGCCAGCGAGGACCACGCCTCCTTTATGCAAAGGATGCCCCCACCCAGACCACCAACTTCGACACCAACGTCATCCACCGATGAGCGCGGGGAAGTACATCCTCCCCGAGGATCGGAGTCTTGGATCCCAGAGGCAGCCCCGCAGACGGCAATGGAACTACTACAAGCTTTGACCAAAGTGATCCACGAACTCCTGCAAGCGTCCTTCTCGCAGCCCAACGAGCAGGTCACTATCCTGGCATACCGTGCATGCAGCTACCTGACCCAAATACAGGCCCTGGGACCCATACAGGGAAATGCACCTGTTGTGGGGGGAGCACCCCCGCCACCGCCTACAGCTGCGACATTTACACTGGACAACCCTTTGATCGAGGCCGACGCGACCCTCAACCAACTACTTCAAGGCCACCGGGACATCCCCCGCAGACACCTGTACAACGAAATGGCACGGGTGGAACAACTTCTCAGCGATACAAAACATATGTTGGCCGCTTGGGGCAAAGACCCTGCAGTTCCAGGCGCACACGAAGGCATTGCGGGGATTAAAAATGCCCTGGATGCCATGGACTGGTGTCACCTAGCTGTGGAGGAAGGCAACATTGCACAGATTGAGGAAACCTTACAGATTGCAATGCAAGCCACCCAACGGAGCCGGAACTACATGGACATGCTCATCGCATGGATACAACGTCGCTTTGAAGATGACGCGGGGAGCCCCCCGAAACGTAAAAGGACTACGGAGAGAGCCACTGGGAGCGGGGAATCCCCCGTTTTCGTTCCACAGCCGCAGCAGCCACCACCACAAGAAGATCCTGCACCCCGTCGACGAGGCCCTGAAGTGGAGCTACTACCCGATCAGGGACATGAAGACGGCGAAGGAGGACATAGTCGGCCTCCCCTCCAACGACGACATCCAATGCACCCACCGACGGACGGTGGGATGGAGACAGAAGCTAGCCCCTACGCCATATTGAGGGCCCAACAGTTGCTGAAGCAAGCGCTACCCTTCCTCGAACAGGAGCTGGCGGTGATCGTTTCGCAAGCATATGCCAACTTATACACCTGGACTACGGCAATATGGGGACATCCCATTCAGCTCGTGGATTCCCCCGAGAACGAGGACATCCAGCAGTCCGAGACCCTTTTGGAAATGGAAGGGGACACTACCCCTGCAAGCCAAGCGGAAACCGTGATGATGCCAGCACACAGCAGGGGGAGAACCCCCACGGTTACCCCGAGATCGCCACGCGAAAGACAGCCCTCGCACCGTCGACGGCGACTTCATGCAGCCCTGGCGAACTCCAGCAACGACGAGTCCGACTAACAAGTCCAACTGAGCGGGAAATGAGCGCTGCAGCTGCCTCGTGCTGGGAAACTACCGTAAACCCAAGGACCGTCTTAGAAGCCTGCAAGTTGTGTTATGTCTGAGTGAGTTGTGCATTGCTGCCCTTGTGAATGGTCCACCAACTAGTGCCCTCAAGAGTGCCCGAGGAATCTTCTTTTGTTGGTCTCTTTTAGTTCACGCTAGGTTGTCTTTTCTCCCATGCCATTTTGTTATGGTTACTCCGGCGAAGGCATTCCATGATGCACCCCCCCGAGTTTGAATGCCTCAACTTCCGGTCAACAACTTTTCTGAAGGATTGAAATGGCAGGGGGCATCTCCCCTACACCTTACCGCAGTGCTGTTGTCGTAAGCTCGGCCTCTCATGCCATACCGATTGCCTTCAGATAACACAGCAAGGAGGTAGAAAATGGCCTCCTTTTCAGCATGTCACTGAGCACAGATGGCACGAAAGTTGCCTTGGTGTGGCATGCGTTTCCCCAATCCCTCCGCACCAGTCGGGGGCGCCACCGGCGCGCGGGCAGGGGGGGCAACCCCTCTGCCTCTAGCCCTGCTGAAAGAAAAGAGAGATCGATGGGGGGCCCTAGTGGCCGGGGGGCTTAAACCGCCGCCCATGCCCTGGCGAAGAAGAATGGATCTAGAGAGAGCGAGAGCCTCAGGCCCCAAGCCAGAAGAGAGATAAAGACAGGGGGACTGGACTGCCCCCAGTCTTAACCCGTAACAAAGCAAAGGGAAAGATGGGAAACCGTAACCAGACGCTCCCGCACTTTTTGTTTGTTCCCCTTTCCTCATAGAGTTGCCAACAGTAATATATGGGGGGGCGCCTGGAGCGCGGGGGTGCTTCTGAGCGTCTTGAGCACATGATCACTGGAACCAGGTCCTAAGTCCTAAGCTGGGTGGTAGTTTCAGGTACTTGTAGTTCGAATGTCAGTTTGTTGCTGATGTTCGGGTCCGGTGGGAAATCGTCGAGCCCAGGCCCCGCAAAGATGGGAACGCAGTACGCCGGGGGACATCGCCATTTGATATTCCTGCACAAGTTTTCGACAGCACGGGGGATCCTGACACTCGGAGCCTTCAGCATCCAGCAACTGGCAGAGGTGCACGACGCTTCTGTGAATCCGTTGGCCCTAGCCTTGGACTCGATGGAAGGGAGGAAGGAAGGAAGAGAGGGAGGGAGGGAGGAAGGGAAGAGGTGTCATGCTGACGACGGCCACCAAACCCGCAGCTTTGCAACAGTCCCCCCGCAGCAGACGGATGGTTGGTCAGGGCCTGGTCAGTTACAGTCTTGCTCGGAAGTTTCAGCTCGGACAGGACGACAGCACAGAATGTGGAAACTGCGGATGCTGAAGTTGCGAAGGCCGCTCTCCTTGCCTTGTGTTAGAAAGCCTCTACAACAACAGGACCTGATCAGCCTGCAGACTCCTGAAGGCTCTTGCTGACCACTCAGCAGCCGAAGCAAAAGTCGCGAGCGCCAAAGATGCATCCGTTGGCAGCACTCTGGCTGAACGCGAGACGGTTCGGGCGACAGGTTGTCAATTGTCAGACTTGGAATGTCGAAGGCAGTCTACAAGCAGCAAAGCGGAAATGCAAGCCGAGTGAGCAGGAGTTCCAGGCCAAGCTGCCAGACGGTTTGTTGCGACATAACTGCGTTTCGTTCCTGACATGTTATGCCTTGGCCAGCCCCTCCCAGTGACATGGACAGGGGGTGAAGGTTTGGAACTGGGAGAGGGAATAGCCCACCTCCCAAAGAAGCCTCCCAAGAGTGGGACGTAGCCAAAGGACCGGAGCACGTGTAACAAAGTAGCAGAGCATGTATGCTGTGGCCAGAGTCTGGAGACCTCGGAAAGGCTCCTGCCCGCAGCAGGATCGTACAGGAGTCGACCTTGCGAATCCTCGTATACCTTTGTTATACATATATATATATACATATATGTATATATGTATGTGTGTGTGTGTGCGTGTAATGCATTCTCACGCCTGTCCGGCCCGTCTCTGCATCCTGAGCTCTGCGTGCTCTGCCCTTCAGCCTTCACGGCCGTGACGTTGCGTCCTTGCCACCATACCTTTGCGGATTCGCTTCAGAAGTTGGAAAGAACCGGGAATGCAAGCGGTGTGGAGAATCTGGTTTTCCGAGGCCTCTGAGGCCAAGGTCCCTTTGCCTTCTCAAAATCCGTGAGTCCTTGACAAGCGAACTTCAATCGCGATCTGAATCTCCAATCGTGGGACGCCTAAGACATCTGCTGAGAGCGATCCCTTCCTGCGGCTGGCACCAGAATCTTCAATCCCGTGTATCGCACGGTGAACGACGGATCCAATGCGAGTGCGGATGTGCACCCCGTCGCAAGCAGTAGAAGAAGAGAGTAGCAGTAGCGCTGCATATTGTCGACTTGGCACATGATTAATCAGCGTGTGGAATGTCATTCTGACTGAGGGAATGCTGCTTTGCATGCTAAAGGAGATGTAGGTGTGTAGGGTAAGCTGTACCACTGGAACGGCACGTGCTGCGAAAGAGCTGAATAGACAATATGCTGATTCATGGCATTGAGCAGTGTTCTCATCAACAGATGCATCAGCCAAGTTCAAGACAGAATGTCGCAGTCAGTCAGTTTGCACAAGTGCAAAAAGTTCAGTCCATGTGCGCAAGGGACGTAATCATCGTTTCCATCCCGCCCCGAATCATCTGAAGCTTCTGGATGATGGAGCGTAGTCGTTGATCGAACATATGCGTGTATATATATATATACATACATGTGTGAGATGTCCAGCACATTCTGAAGGCTTGTGTTGGCCATTCGTGGTTACCACCATGCATGGTTACCAGAGGCACGTCGAAAAGTCACGAAGGAGAAAGACGTCCCTCACGTCATCATGCTCGACGATGCAAACAAACACGGCAAGCACGTTTAGAGGTCACCATGCACTGACTGCGTCCGTCGGGCATGCACAGTCGACCTTGATGAAGATGAAGACGAAGTCGAAGTCGAAGATGAAGCTAAACATGAAGATGCAGATGAAGACATAATCGTATCCCCCTAATATTAAACGGGTGTGCCCCCCAATAGATAACCGGAGAATGTTTTTATTTTTAGGGGTATGTTTATCTCTACTGTCAGATTTGGGTAAAATTACGGCCGCTCCGCACAGGCAGGTTCGGAGAAGGCCTGTGTGTGTGTGTAAAACCCTTTTAAAGCCTTTAAAACCCTAAACCTTCAAACATCCAATAACCCTAAAACCTGACTTAGTCTTTTCAGACAGACAGGCAGTCAGGCCTGGGAGGATTGGGTCCAATGTGTTTTTATTATTTGGGGGGGGGTGTTTGATAAAAAGGGGAAGTGATTTATGATAAACGGATCATGATAGTGATGACAGCGAAAATGCGACGATAGTTTTTGGTACAATGCGTATGGCCAACACAAGGAACAACGCGCCGTGTGTGGATTAGCATCCGGCCGCAAACGCAGGGAATGCTGAAGCACTGACCTTGGTGGGCCCGGGTCGAGTTCGCGCGTAGGGTGGCTTTGCTGTTGATGGGCCAAATCGTTTGAGGTTGTTGCGCAAGCAGGCATTCACGTCCTGCCTGTTGCACGTCGCGAACAGGCTTCGACACTCCCAATGGACAAGGTCGCTTCGGTGTCACCGGACTGATGGCATGGGAGGTCCGGAAGAAGACCCCATAACAGCCACAATCGTGGCACCCCGGTGGCTGGCTTCGTGAAGTCGAAGAAACTTCATACGCCACGAGCGCTCAAGTCAAGGCCGCCCTCGGCGTCGAGCGTCGGAGAACGCACATTTTTGGAAGGTGGGTCTCGCATGTGACTTTCAAACATATCAAACAAGCTCCCGTTCGGAACCTGCCATGAAATTGTTTCGTTGGATTTTTAGCGACTACGAAGGCAGAAGATGCACGAGATGCTTGCCGGGAGCACGCAGGACAAGCTCGTTTGCGAGCTCATCCTCCTTTTCGTCAAGGTCAAGGAGTACCTCTTCGGATAGTCCTTCTGAAGCACCACGACCGCCACAGCAACTGAACAATCTCTCCTTGGTCAGTTGGTGCCAAAGGTCATGTGGGTGTGATCCCGGCCCCCTTGAGTGTTCGATTTTTCGATTCGATTAGCAGGAGGAGAGACCTTACGACCAAGCGATTGGAAAAGAGAGACTGGTATTTAATGGCGGTTGTTTGGGGAGCGGTTGGGCAATAGCATTCGAGCCAGACGCCCACCTAACTGCAAGCCTACAATTTTAAGGGTGTGCATCCATGACAATCGTGTCATCCTGCATGCTTGTGAGTAGCATGTTTTCAACCACCGCAATCGTCCATTCAGGGCGGCTCGCGACAGGTCTATCTGCACTTCCGAGAGCATCTAGGGCTCGCGAAGCACGTCGTCGCTCAATCCTCAGCATCTGTATCGGCGATTTCTAGCCGCTTGCGGGTGTAGCGCTGTGCGAAGCAAGGTTTGCAATGCCAAAACCGTTTGCGCGCCATTTGTTCCACTGCTGCTGGCATAAGTGTTCCTCATACAAGTAGGGGCTTAGTCAGGCAGGCCCGCTCCAGTGCCTGATTTGGCGTGGTCTCTTGTCTCGGACACGGTATCTCTTGATGTCTACCTTTCCAGGTCCAACGCATGAAGTTGCTGCAATTGGCCGATGGCGAACTACAGCGGGAAGTGCTTGCCTTGCAGGATGCCCAGGCAGAGCTGAAGCTTGCATCTTAAGGCACATCCAGCAGACAAGCTATCTCAGCGCAGGCAGCACAAGAATCATGTATCTAATGAATCTAATGCACAGAAAAGCAAAGACCAAGCCATGTGCCAGCGCAGGTTCCGCTTAGACAGTCGGATCAGACAGGCACAAATAGGCAGACAGAAACGGAGATACGGAGGCACATTTGACCGTTCGAAATGTCATTGGACGGGCGCGGGCAGGTGTTTGTCCAAACATGTATGCACAACATGGATGCATAATTCTCTTGTTGCTGCCAGTAC